TGAACACTGCCAAGGACAGGGCAGCCACAGCTTCTCTGGGCACCCTGTGCCATCACTTCACCACCCTTGCAGGGGAGAACTTCCTCCTAAGATCTCATCTCAGTCTCCCCTCTGGCAGGTTAAAGCCGTTCCCCTTGGCCTGTCCCTACAGGCCCTTGTCCAAAGCCCCTCTCCAGGTTTCTTGTAGCCCCTTCAGGCACTGGAGCTGCTCTCAGGTCTCCCCTTCAGGAGCCTTCTCTTCTCCAGGCTGACCCAGCCCAGCTCTCTCAGCCTGGCTCCAGAGCAGAGCTGCTCCAGCCCTTGCAGGATCTCCATGTCTCCAGGCCTGCTGCTCATGTTCTGGGGTGCAGCCCAGCACACAGGGGGTTTCTGGCCTCAAGTGCATGTGGCCAAGTCATTGGGAGCTCATCAGCCAAACCCCCAGACTCTTTCTCAGGGCTGCACCATGTGGTCTCCCTCTGCTTGTGTTTGTGCTTGGAATTCCTCTGGCCCATATGCAGGACCTTGCATTTATCCTTGTTGAACTCCATGAGGTTCATATGGTCTCACCTCTCCAGCCTGTCCAGGTCCCTCTGGATCCCACCTCTTCCCTCCAACCAGTCAATAGCACCATACAGCTCAGTGTCAACAGCAAATGTGCTGAGGGTGCACTCGATCCCACTGTTCATGTCGCTGACAAAGATGTTAAACAGTGCTGGTCTCAACACCAACCCATGAGGAACATCACTTGTCACTGGTCTCCACTTGAGCATGAAGCCCTTGACTACCTTACCCTCTGAGTGGCCTGTCCATCAAATTGGAGTTTCTCTCCAATTTAGAGACAAGGAAATAAATGGAGTCCAGGTAGATGGTGTTAGTTGTTCTTCCCTTGTGCACAAATGCCATAACCCTTTCATAGAAGGCCACCAAATTGGTCATGTGTGATTCGTAGGTCAGATTAGCTGTGTTTTCATGCATGTGGTGGTTGCCTTAAAGGGAATATACTGTCAGCTTCAGGAGAAAATGCTGCAGAAGCTGTTGTTTAGTAACTTCAGTAAAACTCACTCTTGTAAGACTTCTTCCAAAAGCATGTATAAGATTTTTGCATTAATGGACAAAACTGTGTTTTTTTTATACTCTTACATATTTTATACTTATTTTATAGAAGATAAGTATACCTATATAAGATACTTATATCTTCTATACTCTTATATCCTTATTTATACTCTTCATTTTTAATGAAGGTGTTAATTTAAAATCTTGCTGACTCTGGTATTGAAGCCAGCCTGTGTCTTCTAATAAAATAAAATCCATCTTCTAATGAAATGCTAATTTGTGGGGTTTCAGCATAAAATGTTAGCTGTTTCAAGGCATGATTGACTGCACATTTCACCTTGATTAACTTGCAGGAATGCACAGAAGGTAGCAGGCAGGGTAAGAGGCAGTATTTTGCAGTACATGCTATTTCCCTTAATCTCAGTGTAAAGGATGATTTTATTCATATGCATTCTGATTATGGAATCCAGAATCATGCTTACTGCCTGCCTCTGAAATAAAGGGGGTGATGTTGCTATCAAGCTTATGCTGTCAAAGCAGGTAACATGAACTTCTCAGTAAATTCTTGAATTTCAGGATTGTCTTTTAACACAATTTCTTATGTGGCATGACTATAAAGCTGTTAAAGTACTTTAAGCTATTTTTTTATGAATACTGAAACACTTAATTTTCTTCACCCTGTTTGACTGTGAAACTAAGGAAAATTGGCAGGGGATTGCCAGGTGGAAAGTAGCCTTCTCCAGCAGCTTGCAAACTGAATTGAGTTCCGTTTCTCTCTCCTGTTTTCTTGTATTGTGCTGTTGAGAGAAGCTGCTGAGATGAAATTAAGGTGACATCTGCTGTTGGCCTGTTCTTGAGGTGAACCACTCAACACTCATGAGATGCTGCTTTCACTGATAATTGCATCTGTGGTGCATTTATACATAAGGGGGAATACCAGACTGCTGGGATAGCTCCCTGATAGCTACTTGATAGAAGCATCACAGTTCCCAGACTGGCTGTCTAGAAATGTTGAAATAGGATAAACCTCATCCCATCAGCAATAAGGAAAGGGTGCGTGTCTTAAGAGTACTGACATAGTATTTTAGGTGGTGGTCTTGATTTGCATGAGTAATGTGGCCCTTGAGAAGGCTGCTTGCTCCTGCTGTCTGGTAATGGCACAAGAAGTTCTGGACAGGCTGGATAGATGGGCTGTGGGTGATCGTAGGAGGTTAAACAAGGCAAAGTGTCGGGTCTTGCACCTGAGCCACAACAACCCCATGCAGCGCTCCAGGCTTGGAGAAGAGTGGCTGGAAAGCTGCTCATGGAAAAGGACCTGGGGGTGCTGATTGACAGAGCTGAACATGAGCAGCTTGTGTCCAGGCAGCCAAGAATGCCAGCAGCATCCTGGCCTGTAGCAGCAATAGTGTGGCCACAGGGCCAGGGCAGTGGTCATCCCCCCTGTACTGGGCACTGGTGAGGCTGTACCTGAAATCCTGTTCAGTGCTGGGCTACAAGAGAGACATTGATGTGCTAGAGCGGGTCCAGAGAAGGCCAGTGGAGCTGGTGCAGGCCTGGAGCACAAGTGTGATGGGGAGTGGCTGAGGGACCTGGAGTGATTTAGTCTGGAGAAGAGAAGGCTCGGGGGAGACCTTATTGCTCTCTGCATTGAGACAAGGAGGCTGTCTTTCCGAATCAACAGCTACCAGAAAGGAGGTTGTAGCGATATGGAGTCAGTAGCAAGTGATAGGACAAGATGTAGTGGCCTTGAGCTGCACCAGGGGAGGTTTAGACAAGGTATCAGGAGAAATCCTTTCCTGACAGGGTTTTGAAGCCCTGGAACAGGCTGTGCAGGACAGCAGAGGAGTGTATCATCCTTGGTGGTATTTAAAACTGTGTAGGTGAAGCCGTTAATGGTATGGCTTAGTGGAGTCCTTGGTGGTGCTGGGCAACGGTTGGACTTGATGATCTTATAGATCTTTTCCAACATCAGTGATTATATGATTTGAAGTTCATTTTTCATCTGGCTCAGTTCTCTGATCTGTCTTTCTGTAAAATCAGTTAGAATCATAGAATAGTTAGGGTTGCAAAGGACCTTAAGATCAAGTTCCAACCCCCCTGCTGTGGGCAGGGACACCTCACACTAAACCATGCCACCCAAGGCTCTGTCCAACCTGGCTTTGAACACTGCCAGAGATGGAGCATTCACAACTTCCTTGGGCAACCCATTCCAGTGCCTCACCACCCTTGCAGTAAAGATCTTCGTCCTTATCCAATCTGAACTTCCCCTGTTTAAGTTTTAACCCTTTGCCCCTTGTCCTATCACTACAGTCCCTAGGGAAGAGTGCCTCCTCAGCATCCTTGTAGGCCCCCTTCAGATACTGGTAGGCTGCTGTGAGGTCTCCATGCAGCCTTCTCCAGGCTGAACAGCCCCAACTTCCTCAGCCTGTCTTCATACAGGAGGTGCTCCAGTCCCCTGATCATCCTCATGGCCTCCTCTGGACTTGTTCCAACAGTTCCATGTCCTTTTTATGTTGAGGACACCAGAACTGCACACAATGCTCCAAGTGAGGTCTCAGGAGAGCAGAGTAGAGGGGCAGGATCACTTCTCTCAACATTAAGGAGAAAAAAGGGAGCAAGCAGCTGAGGGCACAGGGGGAGTTCTGACTCTTTGGTATCTGACTGCATGGTTGTGTTACAACTTCAGCTGACATCCCATTTATGTTGGAATACATGGCTGTAAACATTACAGTAGTATAGTAAGGGTTAGGGAAGGTAAACGCTAAACATTCCACTGTGAGATGTATTCCTTCTGAAATCAGCGCCCAAAGCTTTAAATATTTTGCATTGGACTACAGTTTAAAAATTAACAATGCACTTCTGAGCTGTTTGTAAAAGTATCTTTTACCATGCCAGATGTCTGCTAATGCCTGCCTTCTCTGTTAAGGTCTTAATATGCCAGTCCTTGAATGTGGAGCTGGTACAGTACAGCAGTATAGATTAAGGTTGGATGTTCCTTAATCTTTAAAACGTCATCTCCTGGTTATAGTGGAAATGTCACACAGAAATAAGAAGGTGGATGGATTAGAAGAATTCTGGATAATGTTACACCTCTGAAGAGAGCCGTCTCACAAAAATGTGAGATCATGTGCCTGTACCAAATTACTTGTTTGTAGTAATGGGGGTAGAAAATCACCTTCTCTGAGTTTGCTTTTTAATTTATTTTGTTTTTAAATGAGAATATTTCTGTTTATCAACTTTATAGATCAATCCTCAGTCTTCCACAACAAACTCTGATAAAGTAAATAGTATTGTTTTATTTTGAAGAGATCTTTGTGTTCCACAATACCAGAATGTGGTATGAAAAGGACAAGAAGCTTACTGTGACTTTCTGGAAAAATTAATTATGTTGGTTAAGCAGTTTTTTAATGTGATATGTACCTCTTAAAAACTGTCCACCTTGTTTTTGGCATCCTTTCAGGAATGAGAACTGATGTGCCTGTCTCTGTTCGAGCATGTGTTCAACACATTGCCCAAAATAAAAAATTAACTAGGCAGTACTTAAATACTTCCTTGTTTCTTAAAATGTGGGAAAGTGGTGATAATGCTGATAATTTTGGTTTTTCTTTATTTAATGGAGTGAAATATTTTGTGTTAGAGCTTATATTTCTTGCCTGTGAATTTAAAGTAGCACTGCCTGGGTTGCATTAAGGTTTTGTTGCTCTTGCTTGAGAGTGGAGACAATTAGAAGTCTTTGAAATACAACAAAATGTAATTTAATAAAACCAAACTCAACTTTCAGCCTGGAAACTTTATTTCTGTGTTTTAAACTAACTGTATTTTTGTTCTGGGAGATGTTATCTCAGGTACTATCCTATACCAAGTGTGAAACTAGAATGATGGAAGCTCAGGTGCTTCACTGTGGTCCTCAAAGTGTTCTGCTCAGGGTACCGTTTGTTCACTTCTGCTTATTCCTCTTTTTATAGAATATGGTATCAAGTTTTCGTGTTTCTGAACTACAAGTATTGTTGGGGTTTGCTGGACGTAATAAAAGTGGGCGGAAACATGACCTCCTGATGAGAGCACTGCACTTACTGAAGAGCGGCTGCAGCCCAGCAGTTCAGATAAAAATCAAAGAACTCTACAGACGTAGGTACCCAAGGACAATTGAAGGTCTTCCGGATTCATCGGCTATAAGACCTGCTGTTTTCAGTCTGGATAGCAGTACCTCTGTCGAGCCTGAGCTGGGTGCTGCCGCCATTCACCCGCTCCCTTCTACTTCAGTTGCATCTCAGTCTCCTTCCTCACCTGTCAGTCCTGTGCTCCTCCGAAACACTAAATCCCACATGCAGCGGCCATCCTCTCCGATTCCACCTGTTCATCCCGACGTCCAGCTGAAAAGCCTACCTTTTTACGATGTGCTCGATGTGCTCATAAAACCTACAAGTCTGGGTAAGTGTTTGTTGGCTCTGTGTGTTGCTTAATTAATGGAATAGGTCTTGCTTGTGACAGCACTAACTCCAGGCTTAAATGGCTTTTGCAGCCACGGATAAGGGGAAACTCCCTTCTCCTCTTTAGCCTTGCTTTCTCCTCAACACTTGTTCCTGAAAGTGCCAAGCCATGCTTCAGAAAATAGTGTGCTCTTTTTTAAATACTAGATGATTAAAGATCTTTGTCTTTTTGAATATTAAGTAATAGAGGAGGATAGTTTAGTTAGAAGGTACCTACAGTGGTCGTCTAACTGGCTGAGCAAAAGTTAAAGAGTAAAACTTAAGAGCACTGTTCAAATGCCTCTTAAACACTGACATGCTTGCAGCATTGACTGTCTCTCTAGGAAGCCTGTTCCAGTGTTTGACCACCCTCTCAGTAAAGATGCTTTGTAGTGTCTAGCCTGAACCTCCACTGTTGGCTGAAAGATCTGGACATTAAGTTTCTGCCTGGTACAAGCGAGGAATAACTGTCGGGGCCAAATGAAAAGGATTTCAGTAATTGCTAGTAATTAACGAATTGCAATAACATAATGAGAACAAGTTCAGTGGTTTGTTAATGTAGTATCTGCACATACTGCATGCACATTACATGCAGATCACTGTGACAGTTCTGCAGGTTCTGGTGTGTGGCACTGAAATAGCGCAGCAAAGTTTAGTACCTTGCTCAGCACAGGCTGGAAGTTCCTCAGCCTACAGGTTGTTGCTGTACTGTGTGCTAAAAGGCAGAGTGGACCTTTGTCTTCTGAATAAACAGGAGTCTCAGTTTAGCTTTCTTAAATACTTCACTCAAGCATAATTCTTTAGAATTATGTTTTGTCTTGAAATTCAACCTTTCTTACATTCCATGGTTGCCTACCTATTTAGTAATGTAGTTTAGAAACACTTCAGCATTTTGTAAGCTGTCTTCATTCTTTTAAACATTTTAGTTTCTTATCTGATAGTCTTTTAGCTGTGATTTGTACCTCAGTGAGGTATACTCTGATCACTGGTCACCCCCAGTACCTAAGCAGCAAACATTACTAACATTATGTACAATGCCTGCTGTCAATTCTCCTTGTGAGTTCTGACACCCTGTTAAGAGTTTGTATTGTACCTGTGTATCAGTACAATCACTGCTTTGGTGTTGGACAGCTCATGCTGCTTCAACCTTTACAGAGATAATGTGTCAGTGTCACAGTGCCCTGGCTAACTCCTGCTTGCGTTCGCTGTGCGCAGTAGCAGAGTATCTGAATTAGCCTCCTGAATTATTCTGTGCTGTGGGACAGCTGCTGGCTTATAATTAACTGGACTGGTTGCCGGCCACGTAGTCACTCCATTCTATATAATGCAGCATATGCCGCACATTATATTTCTGCTGTGTGCTGTGCAGTTATCTTTTGTTTCCTGGTCAGTGATTTGTAGAGGTGGTTAGAAATCTCTCTAACAGCTGTTTTCCTAACTTTGGAAATCATCTGAAAAGAGTAATTTCCTTTTCTGAGAGAAGACTTCCTTGGGAGTATCACCATGTTATAATGTGTCTGCGAATGAAAGTTTCAGAAACCAAATAGGTAGATCAGAGAGCTAGGAGTGTGGTCTGCTTCACTGCGACTCTTTAAAAGGGATGAGTGTAGCTATTCTTTTATGTTAACATCAGAACACAAGACCAGGTGTAGGTGTGGGGTTTACTTTTAACCCACACTCAATTCAGTACCAGAATATTTCCATGATCTTTCTTGCGTGTGCTCAAGTAATATTTTAAAATAGAAAATGCTGTCTGTGGTGTGTGTGTGTGTCTGTGCACAATGTTGCTGTTTTGAATTGTTTGAGGAACTTGGTGTGTATTTGCTGCACCTGGGTCCTGTTTCATGTTTGTGTTCCTTTTGTGTGTGTGTTCTGGGCGTAGAGACCTTGTTTTCAAAATGTCACAGTGTACAGGGCAGTCTGGCTCTTCCAAATGTTCCTGGCTTAGTTGTGCTATGCCTGTGTTCATCCTCCTTGCTGGTTACTTTAAACTGTTGGACAAGTCCAATCTGCCTTTATTTCAGGTCAAGATCTCTAACTTCTCAAGTCGGAACAGAGTAGAAAAGTAACATCTGCATCCTGTGGACTCTTAATAATAAAGTATTTCTGCTTCCCATCAATGACAGACAAGTAGGATTCTGATATAAAAGTTGTATTTAGTTAATTTTTTTTATTGCCAAATGTTTCTGAGGGGTAAGTCCCAGACATGAAGTCTAGCTGGCTTCTCTGGCAATAGGGGTTGTGCTCTTCCCCTTCCTCCCCAAAGGCTTTAGCTGTTTCTGAATTGAGTAATTTTCCAGCTGCTCATTTATAAGTTCTGGTGCACATTCTTGTAGTACATAAAAACAAACATCTTCTATGTTTTGTCAGGTATTCAGTATTACATTTGTTACATGTTTGTTTGAACCTTTCTCCTTTGGGAAAAGGGATTATAATGTGGGTTGCCAAACTGCTTTAGTACTGAAGTGTAATGTGATATTAAGCCACCTGAATATGGTTGAATGAATTATTTGTTCCGTTGCTTTCGTCTTGACAGTTACATGCAGTTTAACCACAATTTGATTGTATTAAATGACTTATGCCTTTTTCCAGAAAAAAAACTCAATTGCAGATCCTGTTTTAATTAATGACTTTAATCACCATGCTTAAATCTCTCTTTTTTGTGTTTTCTAGTACACAGCAGTATTCAGAGGTTCCAAGAGAAGTTTTTCATCTTTGCTTTAACACCTCAGCAGGTCAGAGAGATCTGTCTTTCCAGGTAAGTAAGAGTATGTCATGGTAAGGAGAAAGTGTGGATTTTTGGTCCATTAATGCATCACATAAGCTCAGAGATAAAGTAATAAAGTCAGTATAACTTTGGAGAGGATTGTATGTTCTGTTTTCATCAGGAATTACTGTGCACAGAGTTTATGTGCATCAGGGAGAAATCCTATGCCACTAAAGCGATAGCAATTACTTGGTTCCAAATAATATTGTGACTGTTTAGAGGGGTGCTAAGCTTTTCTTCCCTGCATGTTTCCTGGCTGCAGGAATGGAACACTGCTTTTATCTTTTATCCTGGGTTTCATGTTGTTGCAAGACCTATGGTGTAAGCCAAGAGAATTCAAAGAGTATTTTGTTCTCTGGCAACATCATATTTCATTGTCACTATAAACTCTTGACAGAGGGTGCTGATCCTGAAGTTCTGCTGAAATTGCAGTAGCTAAACAGAGGTGCTTATAACACATCTGTAACAGATTGCTTATAAGGTCTGTTCACAGCTTAATAAAAGAATAAAAGCAAAGTTTAATGATGTTGGGGCAGGTGTGCCAGTTCTTTTTGCGTACAACTGGAATGTAAGTTTTGCTGTCTAAATAGGTACTTCTCTTTGTCACAGGGACTTCATGCCAGCGGGCAGGAGAGATTACACAGTCCAAGTTCAGCTAAGGTATTTTTTTGATAGTGCTCCCTTAATTATAATTAGCTAATGTAACAGAAGTCTAGATGTTTGTGTGGGTATATCAATGTGGTGACACTTGAAAATGATGTTTTCTTTTTTGGGATGTAGGTTTTGTCTAGCAGAGACAAGCTGCCCTCAAGAAGATAATTACCCTAGTAGTTTGTGTATTAAAGTAAATGGGAAGCTGTTTCCATTGCTGGTAAGCTTGTTTGTACGTATTTGTGGCTGCTTTATGACCTGTGGTGTATGTATTTTGCTAAAACAATAAGCTGTTTATTGTTATCACACAAATTTCTCAAGTTACTAATGTTAGGCATATGCTGTGTGAGATAGACATTACTGTTATTAATCTTGCTACAGCCACTACACGGATTAATTGTGTTTTAGCCACCTACAGCAAACGTCATCTGTTGCAGTTAACACAACAAAATATGTCAAAAAGAAACCAGTGTCTGCATGGGGAGTCCTCATCAGAAGTCTTGACTTGACTGGTAGGAGACCTTGATGATTAGCTTGAGTTCCTCCTTGTTACGAGGGAATGGTCATCACCCTCTTGAGTACATGTTTCTATGCTGCTCAGCATCTGTCTGGTTAGAGTGGAATTCATTGTGGGGATGAAGAACAGACACATCTGATGGTTCCTAGTATTTGATGGTACTGGAACAGAGCAGTGTTGATAGCGCTACACTTCAGTGGCATCTGATGTTGTAAAAGTATGTGAGCAGGGTCACCTCAAGGCTTGAATATTCTAGAAAAAGGGAAAAACACTCTCAGCTTTCTTGGAGGATCTCTGAAATGGGTATCTCTCAAAAGAACAGAGAAACTTACATGACTCATTCTGGAAGCTATAGAAAATGGAAAAAGTAGTAGTACAGAGGCTTATTTTCAGCACTGGGTTTTGAAAAATGCTGTATAAAGAAAGGAGGTGTGACAAACTTTTTCCAAATGTTTATCACCTTATTGGTGTCAGATATGTTGTCCTATATCATGACATATGCAACCATGACTGCTTTTTTGCCTCTACTCAGCTTAAATGAGACTCTCTAGCTTCTCTTCCCCCTACTTCAGCAATTGCATCGCTATTCTTCCATCTGTCTTCAGCGTGTAAAAGGATTTCTTTTCAGTGTTTTTGGGTATTTCCTGCAAGTGCCAGTTACGTTCTCTGTGATAAAATTGAGGATTTTCTCCTTCCTTCTTTAGATTCTCTTCCTATAAGCTACCCACCAAGAAGAATTGGGTCTAATGTTATCTTGTGGACATCAATGTCTGATGATTCTCAGTCTTGCTAAGAAAGTTTACATCCTCTATGCATAACATGTCAGTCATGGCAAAAATAGTTTGTAATCGTGGATTGTTGCTTTGCTTTTGATATAAATCCTGTAAGTTCTTCTTGCACATCGTAAGATGATTCCTTAATCTGTCAGAGAGAAACTTCAGGTGAGAAAGTGAATAAATGACAATTGTCTTAGTAACTTTGTTTTCTCTCCTTCACTGTGAGCTGAATGGCAAATGTAGTCTCAGTCTTAGTGCTCCTGCAAGCATTTTTTTTTTGTAGATTTGGTCGATGTCTGCATCCCTCTCGTGTTTCCTTTTTGTTGCAGAAAATGTAAGGTAACTTCTTTGCCTCAAAGACCACTATTGTCCAGCTCGGTAGTGTTGGTGTTAGGTAATTAATCAGTGCTGCCAGCCTCAATTGCCAACTTACACAATTCTGAAGTAAGAACTGCTCTGTTTTAACAGTAACTGGTCTGTACTTACATGAGTAAGTACTGTTCCCTGATATAGCATTTCATGCCACTGCAGGTGTCTGCATATTATTCTTTGTCATCTTGTTGGCTGCAATATGTACCAGAAACTTCAGTGAAATGCTGCCAGCACTGCTTCAGGTCATGCCAACCCATGTTAACACGGTGTTTTCCTGTATTCCTACAGCTGTCTGCTTCCTCCTTTTTCAGTGTTGGTTCTGATTTAAAAGGAGTAAATGCAGAACCTTACCTGCTGGTGTCTTGGCAAGTAACAAGGATTTTACACATAATGCACTACAGCAGGTGGTTCTTCTGACTTCTTTTGTAGGCAGGACAAAATGTGCAAGTTCAAAAAGGTAAATTGCTTTTCTTCTCAGGTGACTGCCACAGACCACTGTACATCTCTTTCAAAGGACAGAATCAAATATGTCAGGGCAGGCTGGAAAGGCCAAGTAGGAGAGCAGTTCTGCTTCCTGTTGATCAGTTTTCCTGGTTACAGCAGATTCCACCTGCTTTGACTGATGGTTCTTACAAGAAGCATGGGAGACTTGAAGACCCAGATAATGTTGCCACTTGCTAGCCACTACAACTGGCAGTCTGATTAAACAGTGCTGGTTGTGATAGGCAGGTAAAGTGCTCTTTACTTAAGTCTTGGAAGACTAGAAAGGGAACGTTTAAAGTGTTTTAGGAGTACAGGATTGAATCTTATCACAGGGTTGTTGCTCTATGGAAGAGCACATCAAAAGCTTGACTGAAATGAAGCATATGTGCAGCAGAATCTGTCTCTAAAAAAGAAAAGAAATATAAGAGAACTTGCATCTTTCCTCTCTTGAAAACAAGATGGCCTCATTTGAGGTTGGAGACCAGCAGGTTTGTGGCTGGTACAGTATGTGTGGAAATAATCTCCTAAGTATTGCAGGGATAGTGTGTTTATCCACTTGAACTCATTATAAAGTCACCATAGTAAAGAAAGGCCTTCTATAGCAAAACATTTGGGATATATAGTCTATAAATGACTGCAGCTGTTCTGTTTGATTAAAGAAATGGCAAATCAGTCATTCTTTTAAGTCCCCATACATCTGCTCCCTCTGTTCTGCAATAAGGCATACACAGCGAGGTTCCTCGTAACTCCTGGTCACTTTTCTCGGGTGAGAACCATTTCAGGGAGGGTCCTTCAGCAATTGCTGTCTATTGCTCTGGCCTCGCAGACCTGCTTGTAGAAGCTCCATGTCCCTGTGCTGTCACTGCAAGGAAGAGTCCTGCCTAACATTTGTAAAGGGCAGTGGGGAGGCACAGTCAGGGCTTGGTTGTCAGGTGAGACATGTGGATTAGTAATAGAGCAGGTTTGGAAACCTAGGAAATTATGACCACTGTCATCCTCCTTGGATTAAAAGCAGTGAGCGTTCTTTGGTACACTTGGTTGAGGGAGTGCAGAGGCTACTTATTTCTGTTTATTTTCAGACTGAGCATCTCTCAGAGTAACTAATTTTTTTCCAAGCACCAGGCTGTGTGTTTCTCTGGGTAAAAGAAATGTATGTGTGTGTGTTTTCTGGCACATCCCTACTGGGAGAGTTTCTTGTATGGAAAAATTTCTCTTGAACTAAATGAGATCTGGCAGTCAGTTCTGTCAGAGACAAAGGGCTGCAATCTTTTGGTGGCATCCTTCTGGTGCGGGATGGGTTGTTGAGGAGTGGACTGCAGGCTGGCTGTGTGAGCTCAGAACAGATTCCCAGATTTCCTGCTGCAGACTGGCTTGTTTCACAGTGACAGATGTAGGATGAGATGAATGAGCTGTGTGCTTCATCACAGAGCATGGGTACTTCCTGTCTGTGATATGCTGGAGAGTGTGTGCTTGCCTAGAAGCAAAGGGAACCGACTGGCTCCTGACCCTTGAGGGTCCCTTGCAACCTGGTATTCTAAGATTCTATTCTGTGATTTAATTTGCAAACATCATAAAGGAAATAAAACTACAGAGAAGTCATCCAGGTTCTGAAAATCATCATCAAAGCTGAGCAAATAAAATCTAGTTTTTTTGGTTCCTGCAGACAACAGCTAAGCCTATTAGCTCTTAGAGCTGATATTCTGTGTAGAGCTCTTCTTCAGGGCCTTTGGTAGAGTACAACCTATCACTACTGAGGCTAGGTGTAGCTGGTGCACATTGAGGAGTGCTCCTGAAAGCACACATTGAGGAGATTTGGAGCTCTTGGAACAAGACTTTGTTTCTTAAATAATTGAGGTATTTACTGGGTGTGAAACACTAAATTAACTCCTCATTACTTGCTATATTTGTCACTAAAGGCTGTGTCCTTGTGTTGTTCTCCTCTTTCAGTGGGGTGAAAAAAAAAAAGCACAGAAAGCATCAACATTACTTTTTACTCTTCTAGTAAACTTACACCTGGCCTTAAATTGCATTCTCTCCCACTTCTTTAGCATGTCCCTAAAACCACTTTAGAACAAAACAATGCTTTAAAATTATGGTTGACTTGTGGCATTAAGACTTCAAAGGCTAGGATTTCTCAGAGTAAGTGTTGAATTTGGACTCCAGCCTGGAGAGCCTCTAGGTTTACTTGCTTCCCATAGATCTGTTTAAAACTAACAAGCCTGCTTCATCAGGTTTCAGAGTACAGTGGGAAAACTTGGTAACTCTTATTGTCTGTCCTTTCCACAGGGATATGCTCCACCACCAAAAAACGGGATTGAACAGAAGCGACCTGGACGTCCCTTGAACATAACATCTCTAGTTAGGCTCTCATCAGCTGTGCCAAACCAGATTTCCATTTCCTGGGCTTCTGAAATTGGGAAGGTAAACTGTATGTTCTGTAGGATGTGGGAAGTTGTCTAAATAACCTCATTTAATAATAACCTGAGAAGGAAAACTCAGTATTGCTGGCCAGGTGTACACCAGCAAGTGTTTAGTATTAGGTGGCTGAACTTAGAATAAGTGTCAGGGAAGATTTGCTTTAGAAGTATGGTAGTTTACAGTAACATATATAAGATTCACATACACGTGGCAATGACCTCCTTATGGAATACACATTAGAAGGCCAGCTGTTAGGGGCTGCCTGAAATGTGTGTCAAAACTACCTGAAGCTACTTGTGGCGTGAACAGTACAAAACAGTTCAGACATGACAAAATAACAAAAGGAAAACCTGCTTTCCTCCTTGTAGCCTCACAGTGTAAAAAATGGCTTTGAGCAACTTGGTCTAAGCGGTTGGAACTGGAGGAGCTTTGAGGTCCTTTCCAACCCAGACCAGTCTGGGATTCTGTATTCTAAGGCATGTTTCACAATATCTGTCCATTAAAAAGCCAGAGAAAGAAGGCTTTTTAAACTGTGGATGTGCCAAGGCCATGAGAGTGGAAGCATGCATTTGCTTTTGAGGGCTTTGTATTTTCTAACCAAGTAATAAGTAGCTTCACTGAAGCAATTTTTATTTCATAGGAAGAACTGCTCAATGGATGTTTCCATCTCTGTTCTTCTGAGATTCCCTTTTTTTTTGTACATGAAAATGGTTTCTCTCTGAGTCAGTTTAAAATTGAACTTGCAAATATACCAAAAAAGGGGTGGAATTTACAGGCAGGCAGGGTTTCCTGGGGAGGTGCCAAGCTGTTTCTGGACTTGATGGGTTTCAGACATGCTTTGTTGGACCCTACTTGTGCAGGTGTGTGTTTCTAAAGAAGGATGTTTGAGCAGTATGTTCCTTAAGAAATGACCATACATCATGTGTGTTCTTTCCAATGAAGAGTATTCTGGAAGTTTGGGTGACCTGAGGGAGAAGTGACTCAATGTGGGGAGGGATGCAGAGTTGGAGGGGAAGAAATGAAAATTGAAGCTTCTTCATAGAGTTCTAAACTTCATGGAAAGCTGCAGTGAGGGGAAGCATGCTAGACTTGAGGTAGCAGGAGATAAAGGCGATGGTGACTGAAACATACCTGTTGCTTCCTAGTGCCTGCAGTCATTAGTCATAATTGAAAAGGGATTAGCCTTCAAAACGACTGTGTGTCTGTTTAGAAATCCTCCTATGGATTTAGTAAGGAAAGGAAGGGAGAATGTGAAGAATTTCTGAGTTCCTCCTAGGTATGGGTGGCTGTTGCAGCAGCATTTCAGCTGTTGGTAAGTCAAAAACTACTTCCAGCTCTGTCTGTGACTAGTGTAAATCCATCTGCATTCAGTTATCAAAGCAGTTTACTTCTTTTTTTCTTCAAAATCAAAGCCTGTGGACTGGAGACATGCCACATTTCAAAGTGACACTCCAGTATAAGCTTTTATACGCTAAATACTATTTCAAAAAGAAACTGGAGAGAAAGCTAATGTTCAGGAAGCAGGTGAAGGAAACGGCAAAGGTTTCATTTCTCAGAGGTGGAGGGAAAGATCTATGCCATTGTTTTCCAGTCATAAAGCACAAGGATCTGGAAATGACAGCAGCATTGTGTGGTCTTGGCCTGTCCTGCTGATCCCTGCTTTCTTTCTCCCCTCTGTATTGCAAAACAATACTGTCTTGGAAGGAGATGAATTGGAGGTTGTCCCTGCATCTCCCTTTGCACTGAGAGGTAGAGTGAGTTCTTTGGGTTGTTGGTGCTTTGCTGTAAGTATTAGAACTTACAAGGGAGTTGTCAGGATTCATCCTCATAAATAAAACCCCCAGGAACAGTTTGGAGTGGACTTGTGGATGTGTTGTTGTCTGATAGTGGAGGGCTTCTGATCAAAGAAGACATTAACCCCACAGAGGTGGTCAGCCTTGAGCTGATAAAATTCTTTCTGTGGGCGGTAAACAGTGCAGTGTATGGTCATTCTTTAAGGATGAAAAAAAATTATCAGTTTGTTTTGGAGGTTTCCCATGTGTTTAGATTACTTTATTTGCTCATCTGGGTAAGCGCTTGTTTTCCTCTGGGTGGTAAAGGAGGAGTAGTGTGGTACCAGAAAATATAAGAAGATGGCTGGCAGGGAGTGATAATAAGAGATCACAGGTTGTGTTTGTTATACTGTTGAAATCATTATTATTCTGCAGCAGTGGGACTTGGAAGAATTTTCCCTAGTGACCTTGAAGGGAGACCGAACAAAAGAAGCTGGCAAGTGGTGTGAATTAGGGAAGAGAAGTGAATGCTAGGGAATGTAGCCAGCCTAGGAGGAGTAGGTATGGAGTAATGAGGCTTGACTTAACAGTACAGAGCAAGCTGAAGAACAGGTGCAAAGAAGTTGGTGCAGCTGCATGCCATGTGAAGGTGTTGTGGTTGTACCTGAAAGACCATTCATCTTTTGTCACTTTGAGCTCCCCATAACAGATTGACACTGAAAAAAGGGAAGGATTTAGGAGACAGGTGTGAGAAGTTCTCAAAGGCTGCATGCATGGGCAGGTGTGTTTCACTCTAAATCATCTTTCCAAGGAAAGAGCCCAGACTGGATTGACAGGAGAGTTCTGGCAGAGTATTGGACTCTTTCACAGTACTGAAGTCATCCTTTAAGGCTTTCATAACTGTGAAGCCCAAAATGGGCAAGTTTTTGTTTTTTTTCTGTATGCTACAACTAGTGTAAACACTGATCTGTTGTCATGGTGAAAGTACTGTATGAAACTAATCTTTCATCACTCTCTTTGTAGAATTACTCCATGTCTGTATATCTTGTCCGCCAGCTCACTTCAGCAATGCTGTTGCAGAGACTAAAAATTAAAGGCATCAGGAACCCTGATCATTCCAGAGCACTAAGTAAGTTATATTAATTTGCCTGTCTGTACTTCTTGAGGGTGGTTGGTGGCTCTTTAACTGTTAATCCTTAGGGGATTTGCAGCATTCTGAAAGAAGTCCATGCCTGGATTATCAAATTTCCCTTTGCTATTGCTGGGGCATTATGCATGCTTTCAGTGAGGGTAGCTGTGCTGATTGGGAGCACATCTAAAGATCCTGTCCAAAATGTTCTTATGAGAATTCTATGAGCAGCCCTTATTGAGGTGGGTTGTGAGGTGCAGATATTCTAAACTCTCTTCACTTGCATGTTTTGCTGATTGTCTTTGTCCCTCACTCACTGGTGATTGTTTTATTCATCTTTGTATGCTGGGCTGAGTTTGCTCTACTAACTGTTGTGGCTGTTAATGCATCTGCTGCACATCAAACAGTCTTGCAATGAACAGTGTTTGCCAGTTGCTTATAAATAGTGAAACTGTTGGTGGTTTGATATTGCTATGATCTAGTTTCCTAGGTGCTTAATTTTTTTAGATAGCTTGAAATAAAGTACAAGTACTGGCAAATCAAGATTAGCAGTTTAAATAATGTCTGTTGTAACTTCTTTCATAGTTAAAGAAAAATTAACTGCGGACCCCGATAGTGAGATTGCCACCACCAGTCTGCGTGTGTCTCTGATGTGTCCTGTAAGTATGGCTGGAAGTTACCATATGCAGATCTGTATTTTCATCTTTCTAAAAGCAGCCCCACTTTTTTATATACTGCTTCATTAAATAAAGCACTGGGGAGAAGAGTGCATCTATAAGCACCTGATTATAGCAGTATTCAAACAACTGAATGCAGCTGGTGTAATACAAGTAGAATCAAATTGCTTCTTGTGTGTAATGAGGCCTGTAGAAGATGTAATCTTGCATATTGAGGTGTTGAGACTTAATTGGGTAGGGTGACAATAATTAAAGGATTTGGTGATAAATAAAACTTCTGATACCCTCATCTTGGTGGTATTGCTTATACTGTCAGCTGCTATGACAGACAGAATGATCACTGTGTAACGGGTAATGCTGCCTTGGGGTTTCTTTTCTTGGGTAATAACTGGCCTTGTGTTTGTGACTGGTCTGTTAAACTAAATGTTAAAATAGGTATTATGCCATTCTAATGTAACCTGAACTCAAACTCCCCTTTGCCATTTTTTAGCCAAGTATTCCAAAAGTGGGAACTTCAGTAGGTTTTTTTTATTTCCAGGATTCAGTTTTTATTCACATTAGTTATTGGAAGGGCATTAGTTATTAGCAGATCCATTAGGAATGTTTCTGGCTGTTTTCAGTTCAGTGAAGCCTTTGAGGATGGCTTTACTGTTTAAGAACAATGAAGGGTGGATTTGCCTGCAGTATCCTTAGCACTGGGCACCTCTGTGGAGAAAAGAGACACACGGATTGCCTATAAAAGGGGCCTATTAAGAAAGATGGGGAGAGACTTTTTAGGAGGGCCTGTTGTGGTAGAGTGAGGGGTGGTGGGTTTAAACTAAAAGGGGGAGATTCAGGCTGGATGTGAGGAAAAAATTCTTTACTGTGAGGGTGATGAGGCACTGGTATGGGTTGCCCAGAGGTGGTGAATGTTCCAGCCCTGGAGATGTTCCGTGCCTGGTTGGACAGGGCTTGGAGCAACCTGGCTGAAGATGTTCCTGCTCATTGCAGAGATGTTAGACTAGATGACCTATGAAGGTCCCTTTCAATCCAAACTATTCCATGATTCTGTGCCTCTGACTTTGTTAGCCATCCAGATCTACTTCACTGCCTTCTGTTCTGACATTCTTTAAATGCCTCTCCTGCAGCTGGGAAAAATGAGACTGACAATCCCATGTCGGGCTGTTACTTGCACTCATCTGCAATGTTTTGATGCTGCTCTTTATCTTCAAATGAATGAGAAGAAACCCACCTGGATCTGCCCTGTCTGTGACAAAAAGGCAGCCTATGAGAGCCTGATCTTGGATGGGTAAGAGACTGGGCTTGGGGATTACACAGTTAATTTTTTTCGTTCTGCACGTGATGGCTACTTTTGCAGCTTTTGTGAGTTTTAGCCATTTCATACCATTTTTTTTCATCAAAATATTTTGGCTTGGGAGGTATCATTAAACTATGTTTCTATTCCCATGTAACAAACTACAGAAATTTATCTCCAGACTGCATCATCAAACTCCTGATCCTCAGTGTATTTCTTCTGGAGAAACCCAAATGTGACATCTAAGGATTGATCTCCTTTTTACATAACCATTACTCTTAAGCTGTTAACTTTAAATTTTAACTTAAACTCACAAACAAGTATCAAACTTGATTCAGAGGATGGCAACTTCTGTTTTTTTATGAATTCTGTGAATTGCAGTAGTGTCAGAGTGGAATATTGGTAGGTCAGGTTGCTCTTCTAGGCTTTGTCTGTGACAGCTGTAATTACAGGCTTTCAGGTAAGATTAACTAAGGAGAAAGTACATGCAGTGGGTTGAAGGTGTGATCATAATTAGCTTTTCAACTGTGCCTCCTTTTCACTTACGATAAAAAAACTTACCTGGAGTCAAAAAATAAAACCATTCACCTTTATATTTCAGGCTCTTCATGGAAATCCTTAATGAGTGTTCTGATGTGGACGAGATTAAATTCCAAGAAGATGGCTCTTGGTGCCCCATGAGGCCAAAGACGGATGGTGTGAAAGTCTCAGGTCCACAGTGCACTAACATAGACAGTATGTACATCTGGTGACTGTATGTACTGACAAAAGTCCTGGAGACTTAATTGCATCCTGTATAATTCTTATGGATGCTGGCGTTTTGTTTTGTGGAGGGCTTAATACTTCTTGCCATTGAAACAAAAAAGAAAGGGTTGCTTCTCAAACAATGTGCATTTTGGGTCTTTGCTCTTCATAATAGCCGTTAAGAGAACGGAAGGTTTCCCTTATTTAAGGTCCTTACACTGATAAAAGAAGATGACAGTTTGTGCTTTAATAATCTCAGCATGGTACAGAATACTAATAAAACAGTTCCTGGGACATAACATTCTCTGCAGTAGCCAGGAAGATGAGCTAAAACAGGATTTGCATTTCTGGTCTGCAGATAGAAACTGCTAATGTCAACAGCCTTTAAAACAACAGTGATACTTTATTTTCTCGTTTAGGTTCCAGTGTTGTTAGCAAACAGTGTTCTGCGACAATTGCCAGTGAGGCAAACAAGAAGCAAGCTGATGTTATTGACTTGACAAAAGAAAGCTCTTCTGATGAAGACGATGCTCCTCCCAAAAGGAAGTGCGCTTATAAGTCCGGATCACGTGGAAGCCAAGCCAGAGGGTTTGTCAATTTTAAAGATAGATAGTTGTAACTCTGTAATGTCTCAGATAAACTGATGCATAGACAGGCAGACTTGCAATCTCTGTTCGGGATCCAGCTCCACACTTCCAGAGGAGAATTTCTAGGCCTCTCCTTGTAGAAGATACAGTACCTCTGATACAGTACCTTTGTACAGGTGAAACACTATCAAGACTTGCGCTGACTATTGCTGTGTTTGCAGGGATATTTCTCCATAGAAAAAGAGATTCTCCTGAGAAAGCAGATTATGCCAAGTGGAGGAGTTTTGTGCATTCTTGCTAAGTTAGTGTCATCTTGAAAGCTTTTCTTTTGCTGTCTGTTACACCCTTGAATCTGCTGTGGTGCCCAGGAAACGAGGCTGCATTGTGTGTTTCATCCATCCTGTTGGTCTTGGAAGGGAGGCGCTTTGCTGTTTTGAATTAAGACAAGTTTTTCCTCCATCCCTCTGTTAAAATCTGGTATGTTGTGGATGCTGTTGGCTGTGGTTATCAGTCAGTCCTGCATCTCAGCACAGTCAACAGCTTCAAGTCCCCTGTCAACTGATCTGTCTCTGTGGATGTGCCAGACTTCAGGGTCAGGTTTAACTAGCTTCTTTGCTGTTGTGCTGCCCTCTGTCTTGTCGCAGTCTGTGCAACTTGGATGCAGTTGGTTTGTGGTTTCCATAACATTCTTGCTCTTGGCCTTTTGGGTGCAGGAGACCTGCAGGGAGAGAGGGGCACTGGTTAGGCTCACCAGCAGTCACCGCTCCATGAGGCGGTGCTAGTCATGGCTTAGTAGTTAGTGTTGCTGCCTGCATGAGGTGTGTGTCTGCGTCTCGCAGCATAGTGGCTTATGTCTTGTACTAAAATAATAGTAATAAAACCCAAACCCCTTCTGTTTTGCTAGCTCTTGAAGTAATTAGCAGGTGTGCTGTGTTTCTAGTCTGCAAGAATGTGTGGTCTTTGGTGAGCAAATAGCTGGTCATCAACAACTTTCAGCAGTAATGCTGACATGCTGTTGCTTTTTGTGAGGATTGTGGAGTAGTCCTTCTGCAAAAGGCTTTATTTTCTAAGAACAAAATAGCTACAAACACATCTCTTAATGAAGTTTCAGAAGGCATCAAGACTTTCTTCCATGCTCTTGTATTTGAGATGGCTACCTGCAACCATAATTGTGGGAGGACTGAGTTTTCTTGTGTCTGTGACCGATGTATTTTCCTTGCTGTTTGGGTATGGAAATGGCATGTTTTCATTCTTCAAATCCAAGTCAAAGCCAGGCTTTTGGGAAATAGCTTATCTCCTGTGAACAGGGTTGCCTGAATGCTGGTTTTGGCAAAACTGTGGGATGCATTCGTGTAGGCAGAAGCAATGTAGGCTGAAGTGTAAGAGGTGCTTGAGAAGGAGGGTCTGAAATCCAAGCTTCTGAAATCAGAAGCAGCATAAATATACCAATGCAGCAGTGTGGGGAGGAGAACGTGAGTAATACTCACAGCTAGAGTGGAGCAGCCAGGAGTAAGACTCTGGGTGTTTCTACGTGACTTGGAGCTTATGAAATACTCTATGCATGTGGCTGAATGAGTGTGTTGTCTTTAACAGTGCTGCAAAGTAATCGGGCTGAAGGTGGGGATGCAGAAGGGTTTAAACTGGTTGCAAGCTCCTGGAGAGCTGAACTTAGCTTGGGCTTAGCCTCTGAGTAAAGGTGGGTTTGGTGGTTAACTCTGATCTGTGCTCCAGGGGCTGAACAATGCCCAGTCATGCCCTTGGTGGGATGGGATAGCACCAAGGAACACTCGTGGGGAGAAATTGACATGAGAAGTCTGCTGCTGGCTCTGTCTACCTGCAAATCCCTCCAAGGGTGCTCCTCAGATACAGATACCCAGTTCTGTGTCTGAATGGTAGACTGCTCTACATGACTCCAGCACTGTACTTTGTTTTAATGCCAGCTTGCTCTTATGTCACAGCTGCTGTTGAGATCCAAGATACAGTTATGTTATTATGAAGACTGTTATGAAAAAGGAAATTGGAGTGGAATACTGTGTAGTGAGTAGCCGTGCTGTGTTATCACAGAGTGATTTTTGTGAGTAAGAGCGTGTGCTTTCTGCTCTGTAACTAACGGCCAGGTTGTTTGTTATTTCCCATGCTGTTTAAAACAGGGTGCTCATGTACCAGCCATCTACGGTCAGAGTGCCCAGCGTGACAACGGTGAATACTGCTGCTATTCCTCCTTCATTAACAGACTGTCCGGTACCATTCCATCATCCACGAATTTCCAATATTTCATCAGATCTGCCAAGTAGGTGGTGGCTGTTTATAATGTTTGAGTTTGTGGGGTGGGTGGAAATTGGAGAATTAATACTTACTGGTTTCTTCTTTAATGGAACAAGACAATATGCAGTATTGTGCTGATGTGATGTGTAAGACAGTCCAGTAGAGGCTGTTTTTTCCAGTTTCGGATTGCACTTGGCAACATTGATATGAAAAACATTACTTCTGGGGTACAAATCGGCGCTGTGGAACAGCAGCCGGAAATGCTCTTGCTGTATTCAGTTAGACTTTGAGTAAACATCCTGATATTACGTACTGTAGATGAAAGGGAGAGTAGGTGCTTATTTAAGTTATAGACGTGTGATGGCACTGACTCATCCCAATTCTAGACATAGAGATAGTTCTGTTAACTGATTCTAATGGTGCTCTGTCTAGACTGTATGAAAAAGGTTAAGGTGAGCTACAATATGTAAGCTGACCTCTATTGACTTTCTTTATCTAGACAAACCTAAATGCCTATGATGTATTCTTCAACACTGCTGCTAAATATCAGACAAGGTGGGGATACTGATTGTTTTCTATTGTGGCTCTTTGAAAAGAACACTGTATATGAGGGACTCTGGGGGTTCTGTTTGCTGGCTGTATGAACCCAGAGCCAAGGAAATGGTGACTTGTGGTGACAGGTGTCACGTTGGCCTCCTGTACTTCCCTCTCTTCCCTTCATTGCCTGTCTCCATTTCTCCCCTGCAACATCTCTGGGTTTTTTCCTCTTCTTTCAGCACCAGTTTGGCAGTGGGATGGATGTAATTCCCCTTGTTTCTCTGTCCATTTTGGTTCCCTTACTGCTCCCTCCCTCCACTTCTCCCTTGTTAAGAATTCGGCTGTCTTCCCAAGTTGCAGAGTAAGCTGAGAGAATGGGAGTCTAGAACTGTTGCCCATCTCTGCCAATTGAAACCCTAGAATGTGCAAGAATAAAAGACGCTGCCAATTCTGCAAAAGTAGCTGAGCTTAAACCTCCTTTATGACTTTTTTTTCTCTACTGGAGAAGAGGAGGAGAGATGCCACTAGTCTGAACAGATTTGGAGGTGAAGGGAGAGGGAGGGAGTAAGTTTCCCATGTCTTTCTGTTGACATAGCAAACACAAGGCCAATATTTAGAAATAAAACAAAAAAGGCTGTAATTTCTCATTGATTTAGTAATTTTAAACATCTTGCCCTAAATGCTTACACGCTAATGGTGTATAAGATGGACGCTAGCTGTCACTGCTCTTGGAGGATATACCTTGAACTACTTGTAGTTTCCTCTTCTTCATTCCTTTTATTTGTCTAGACACAAAACGGGGATGATATTAGAAATGTTTCCTTATTGGCTGCCCGTGGGTGGAGGAAGAGACCTGCTGCTTGTTTTTGGACTTGTGCATGTTGTGACTTTACTTCATTCCAGCATCCTTAATGTGATGACACTCTTCATGTCCCAGTTTGGCCAAGTCAGGTACAATATGCAGTGAAACTTGCATTATGAACCAACAGCTCCAAATGGCAACCTCCATCTAAGCAACCACATTGAACCACCCTGCAATATCCAGTGAATAATACATCATTATGTCATTCTCATTCTTAAAAAGAGCCACTTTGTACTAGATAACTCGTTTTGCTGCTGCCTGAAGTAGTCGTTGAGAGTGGTGTCACAGTGGTATATTCCATATAGAAACTGTAACAAAATCTGTTCTATGACCACAAAGAATAGACAGTTCCTTAAATTTGTGGTTTATAAATAAAAGGCTCATCCACTTATTATCCTTTTCTGTTTTCTAGGTTTGGATTTTCTTTCGCTTATGCCAGTAGATTCTCAGGTATGTTTCTGAACTGCTGGGGGTTTAATTTCTGGGTTTTGTGACATACTTTTCAAGTAATTCTCAGGGTACAGTCACTGTCCATACCATGTTTGAGACCACTTGCCTAGACCTAACCACAACCCAGGACAGTCCAAGAGGTGGTAATGAGGACACATCATAGGAGGATTCTGTTTAGCTGTAGTGTGATAAATCCAGACATCAAAACTCTATCAATAGTTTGCCCTTCTAAAGTGGAAACTGATTTGAATACACCCATCACATACTCTTAGTTCCTACTGTGCATCTGTAGGCCAGATGGAGCTTGCAGATATACTTCACCAGCTGTTAGTTTTGATAATAGTAGGAGAGGAAGTTCTAAAGAAAATATCTTCATTAATTTGATGGGCACATGACTGCACACTTTTATAATAATCCCTGTATTTAACACTCAAACCCGATCTGTTGGCTTTGGATCTGAAGCAGACCTTCTGCTTTATCTTTGTCCCTAGAACACAACAGCAGTAGGACTTACTTGTGCCTTTATAAACAAAGGCTGAACTTCCTCCTTCCCACTTAACTGCATCTTGCAATGCTCTGTGCCTCACCTTGAGATCTGAACTGCCAAATGTGGGAGTAACGTGGGAGGCTGGAAGCAGATACGCTGCCATGAAGTGTCCACTTCGGACAGTTCAAACCGTTCAGGCTCAGTTCCATGCATATGCCCCCAGTTGGAACCCACAGGGTTAGGAGAAAGTGAGATGTGACAAGCCTGTGTGTGTGCACGCAGGGGGTGCCTTACACTGCCCTCCTCTTTGACACCTGGCAGCCTTGTGTTTCTGAGTGCTCAGGATGTTCAGCTGTGCTTTCAGGAGGCTTGTTTTCCACCTCAGGGAGGTTAAACCAACTTAGTAATTTTTCTGAATCAGACTTGATCAGGGCTCATTTATCACAACTAAAATGTTTAGAGACCTGAACACATCATCATGGCATAGACTTTGAAAATGCAGCTGCTGCCCCGAGGGGAAGGAAATTACTCTGACCTCCACTGAAGTAGCAAAAAGCACTCTGCTGCCTTTCATAATGAAAGGAGCAGGCACAGGTGGTTGTGCCCAGTAGCTGTGGGCAGAGAACATTTTCCAAATAATAGTTTGTTTTTCTTGTGGATGTGGCAGTGTTTTTTAACATGTTAGTAAGTGCTCAAGCTAACCAGTTAGTAAGGGAAAACCAAAAAGAGGAGGAAGAGGGAGAAGTCATGGCCACAGTCTGCTTGCTCACTTGCTGGTTTTGCAGAACTCTGGTCCTTGCTGTGCATGTGTTATGTAATGCGTTTTGTGCCTGTTGTAGGGAAGATGTATCTTTAGAGCATGCATTTCCCTATTGCAGTTAGTATCCTAATTCTTCATTGCTTGTTTCAAGCAGTACTGTCGTCCTATGTTTTTGGATACTCTTTCCTCAACCTTAACAAGCAGCACACCTGGCAGCATCATCACATCGACCAGTCACCACGACAGCAGCACGCAGGTTAGCTCTTCCAGCAGGAGCGAGGAAGGAGTGATAACCAGTGCTCCTGACATCATCTCGCTGGATTGAGGCAAGGAACAGCATGCTGGACTGTGGGATGGATGCACTGCACAGAGCTGCTGCTGCTGCTCTCTCTCTCTCTCTGGAACTTCAGCACCTGGCAGGTTACTCTGATATTTATTGAAAGGATTTGCCTTGTGGGGAATGGAATAAATTCACCTCCATTAGGACCATAAGTGATAGATCTTTTCTTAGTTTTCCTGTTGCCCACTGAATAGTTGGTATAGAAAAGGTACCTTCTGATCATGCTTTCATGCTTCTGGCTTGTTCTGGGGAAACTGATGACTTGTTGCTGGGTGGATTTAACAAATGTTTTTCAATTTTGTTGTAAAAGACAGCAATAATGTAAAAACAAACATTTTTTAATATATATATGAAAAGGCACTTAACCACTCTGTAACAACCACCATGACCTGGACTTAAGTGCACAAGTGTATGTGTTAGTGAACTTCTAGTATTTTCACTGGCCCCTGTAATAAATTTCAGACAGTGGAGCTCTGTGAAATAGCCATGCCTTGAATTGTATGTCTCTTGTTCCTGGCTTCCCCCTTAACTTGGGGATATAGGGGAAGCCTCTGTAAAAGAGATTTGTTTCTCCTTTTTTGCTCCTGATTCCATGTTTTTCATAAAAGTAATAAAATCCTAAGCTGTGGCTTCTCCTTGTACTGTTCTTTGGGCTGGGGAGGGGATAGACTATGCAAACTCTGCTTTATGTGACCTCTGCACTGCATTGTCAGAATTGGGCCACCTGCCCACCACCAAAATCTCCAAACTGTGTACCATTGAGCTATAGTTGAATTTCTGGCTTGATTAAATTTAAGAGGTGATAGTAAAAAAGAAAAACAACCTAAAACACAAAAACCCACCTTTAAATGCCATTTTAGATAATGAGGTCCTCGGTGGCCCTTTCTGAAGTTGCTGCCCCATACCAGATGACCAAGGGAAGTGCATGCTTCCTCTAGAACTCTAAGGAGGCAAAGCTGGAATTCCATTATCCAGTGCAGGAGTATTTTCTAGGATCTCTTGCTCTCATGGTTTCTGGTCACTGCAGGAACTGCTGTATGCTGTTTGGGAACACCACACTCCTGCTTGCCATTGTGGAGGCTTGGGTTTTAGGAGGAAGATAAAAGCTGTTCATAGATGCACAATATTCCCATCTGACTGAAACTGTTGTTACAGTGCAGTGCCACTTTTTCCCACTTTACACAGCCTTCTATCATGGCTTTTATAATTCAGTGGGAACACCGTCCTCCTGTTTTACTCCTCTGCAAATGGGCTGCTTTGCTGTGTGTCTCCCCATGCCCCTCTCACGATAGCCTCAGAAGTGCTGTATGCAGAACAGGTTCCAGGAAAACCAAGTTGTATTCACAGAGCTGGAATAGTAGTATTGTTTGTGTAGGCTGACATAGCAGCTTTTCCAAGTGTGTGTTTCTGCAGAGTAATCATATTTGAGATTATTCCTTCTGTAATGGCCAGCTTTCAGTTTTCCCTAATTTTGTGTTCCTGTTTTATTTCTTTAGTCAGATGTCTGGTGCTTTTTGCCTTCTATTACTATTCCAGTATCTGAAGTACATGGATAAGAAACATTGAAGCAGGATCTATTGTAATTGTTGTCTGCCCTGTAGTCGTGCCTTTAACAGTGCATTATAGTTTGTCTTTGTCTTGGGGCTTTTTGTTGCTTTTTGGTTTATGATCTTCCACAGCAGCCTTCAGTTGACATGTTGGTCTTAATATTGCCTATGGTTTTGATTCTTTCCTTATCTGCTGAATTTTTTGCACCTGTTACAAATCAGTTTCTAGCATGATTTGTTTCTAGTAAAGCCATGCTGCTCATGAAGCTTTTTTTTTTTCTGCTTATGGCTGGTGGTGTATCAGTGCTTTCTGCATCCCAGTTGCACAGTGACTTGAACTATTACAGTATGGAAAGAGGTTCCACATTCATTCTGAATAATATGTTTCAAACTGATTTCTACTGTGGAAGATGTTAATTGTGCTCCTAATGTCCAACTGAAGCATTCAGCTGCTCAATAAGGGCAAGTGCCATTTGTAGGACATGTGCTGTAGACAGTGGGTATTGGAAATACGGCTGTAATGTTAGTAATTGTTATGCCCTGTGTAGCAGTTACTTCTCATGGCTAAGGCAGGGTTGTGTAGGAACTTTGCAGCTACATTTATCTTTAAACCTTCTAGTGCCATGACAGCAATGTCAAATGCAAACTCCAGCCGTTTGAGCCTTGTCCATTCAGAGGAGTGCTATCCTGTCCTAGGTTGTGGTGCAAGACATTGAGGTGAACAATGCTGTTTTCCTGCAGTGCTGATGTACATGCAGTAGGTGATTACAAGGCTTGGGTAGCCCTAAATGCTTTCATTCACTTGAGGTTGTATCGAGGGTTGGAGTACTCCAGTGCAGCCATGTCACAACCAGGAATTTACGCAGGGGACCAGGGGGTGCGACTTAATCAAGTCTGTACCCCATTAGCCCAACTCTGAACAAACCTGTCCATTACAGCTAGATGATTTTTTTGGTCTGTTTTTCTTTCAGTAGGTTCTAAAGTGCATCAGGTTCAATGACTGTCTTACCTCTTTTTTTTTTTTCCATCTGGTTACTGCTTTGAATCATAGAATAGTTAGGGTTGGAAAGGACCTTAAGATCATCTAGTTCCAATCTTCCAGCCATGGCCAAGGACACCTAATCCTAAACCATGCCACCAAGGCTCTGTCCAACCTGGCCTTGACCACCACCAGGGATGGAGCATTCACAACTTCCTTGGGCAACCCATTCCAGTGCCTCACCACCCTCACAGTAATGAACTATAGCAAATAGCCTTTCTGACCATCTGCAGAAGGGAAGTAAATGAGCGGCATGCCGCAAGAGCTGGCCTTTTTTCTTTCCCTCACCCATCCATTTGCTGCCTCTATTCCTGCATTTTCTGGCAGTGAGCTGGCTGCTAAATCCTGGTTACATAAAGGCTGGAACTGTATACCTGTAGGCCTGTCAGCCTGAGCCAGCTGCTGATTTTCCTCCTTCCAGGTCACATAGGTCTGAAACGTTCAAGAGCCACACGGGCAGGACCTTGCTGTCCAACAGTACAGCCCCAGGGTGTCCTGCACACATCCAGCAGCAAGAATTTGGGCATTTTCCACTTTAGTCACTGCCATGAACAAGATGCTGGGCTAACTTAGCATTTAGTCTGACACTAAATGACCATCATATTTAACTCTAGGTGTTTCCTGTGCCATTTCCTCATCTGCATGCAGTGTCATCCCCTTGTCCTGAGTGTTCAGTCCTGTGAAGAGCTGCTGCTGTGACTTGAGGCTTTGCTACTGTAGACCCATGTTTAACCATGAGTCTATAGGAATATTGATACTTTCCTGTGTCTTTAGATTGCTGATTTAGCAAGAATCAATTTGGCAAAGCACTAAAAAGGCAGATTTCAAGAAATGTGGATGTTACTATGCTATGTAAACTCAGACTGCAAGCCCAGCGTAACGAACATCCCACCAAGGCTGAGCTGTAACACTGTTTTTCCATGTTTGGAAAATGGGTCTCTTGATGAAGTTGTTTTAAGCTCTAAGGAAACCTGGAGAATGGAAAAAAACCCCAAAATACTCAAAACCCAAATAAAAACATTTACACAAACACGTGTAAATGATTTCAGCAGTTAGCACACTTATGTCCTTTGACAAAGAAACCTCCTCCAAAATAAAACAGCATTACCGTTTATGGGCAAGGAGTTCCAAACTCATCTCATGAAACTGGCAAATGTCTGTCACAAGGTCACAGGATACTCCTGAACAGCATTTTGAGTGGGGAAAAGGGAAAGGGAATATACAAACCACAACACGAGACTAAGGGCTCTGTACCATGCTGAGATGTTAGAAGTTTCAGTACAGCATAAGAAGGATCAGACTTATCATTTGAAAGACAGATTAGCAAGAGGGGGTGATGACATTTATGATACTCAGGCTGGTGCTCTTCTCTTAAAAGACTCAAATTGGTACCAAATTTTCTATCCTGCTGCCACTGAAGATGAATTCTTCAGGCTTTCAAAGGAAGACCTTGATTTATAATTATGGAAACTGAATCTGGTGTAGACTGGAAAGTCTTAATATGCAGAAAAACATTAACATTTTTTGGCACCTTCTGCTGGCACAGAAACCCAATAAAGGAGGCAGCAGGAAAATAAGGAGTAAACTCTTTGTTCTGAAGATGTGAAAGGGACAATAGGAACAATCTTGGAGTTAATAAAACAGGAACTCTTCAGTCTCTGATGCTGCCAAGGTCTTTAATTGCATGTGGGTAACAAGATACCTACCAAATGACTCATTTACAGGTAGATAATGCCTTGACCACAAATGCTGGAGATTCTGCCACTTGGGATTCTTCAGAAACACGTCCCATTTTTGTGTTCAGCCCACTAGCCACTAGTTCTGGGCACTATAAGAAAAAAAAAGTCAAGTTACATAAAAGGAAGAGATCACCAGTCATTAAAATACAGCCAGGCAGCATTAGACAACCCCTCCAGACGGCTCTTCTTGATATTTTTCTCATGGTGGCTCCTCACAAATTTCTCTCCTGTGTAACAAGTGCCTTCATTCTTGCTTCCAAGATCTCTTTCAGGAGCTCAGCCTGCCTTCTCTGCCTCATGTGACAGTGAAGTTTCCAAGTACCAGACTGCAGCTTATATACACAAAGTGAGACAAAAGTGCATATGCTCAGTGAATACCTTCAGCAGTCTTTGGGAAAGCAAGTAGAGTCCTCTAGTGCTTTGTAGTAAATGCATTTACTACAGGATGCAAGTTTTACACAAACGGGATCTCACTGTACCTTCCATTAGAACTTCAAATGTGGCTGACAAGGAATCCAGTGAAAACTGTTCTTAAAAACTCCCGCATTTTCTTACAACCATACTAGTGAGGCTCCAAAGCTCTCCTGCTTTGTCACCATAGGTCTCACATGCCAGCAAAGTGAAAAGGCTCTCTCCATTCTGCTGTTTCGTCCTTTCTTGTTCTTGTCTTCTTCAGCCCTCATGGCCAAGTCATGTTTTTAGTAACTGAGCTGCTAGATTTCCTGCCCACCACCCAGCACTGTAGTCTGGAATTATTTTTAAAGCAAGTTTTAAATCTTGCAATTGTTTTGAAGACAAACTGGTATGTGAACAGCTGTATTGGGTGATAAATACTTTTAGCATGGAAAGTATTTTCCAAGCTTTTTCACAGAAGAATTTAATTTACCAAGAAAAACAGTTGTTCAAAGCACAGAAGTTAATGTCTAAATAGCTAAAAAAAAAAAAAAAGTAAAAGCTTATTTCTAAAAATTAAAAAATCCTTGCTGCTTTTTCTGGTTATTTAGGATACCCTTTGTTTGTTCCCCTGAATGTTTACAGCCACAGAAAGGAAGAAGGGGAAACACTACCCTCACAAATCATAACTTTCCCCCCAAAGGTACAGGCAATTCATACAGAACAGCATAACTAACCTCCCCACCTACATTTTGCTGGTTCTAGTTAATTGTCTCTTAACTCTGGAATGAAAAACCCCTTCCCAAACACTCTTTGCCACCACTGATCTAATGGACATGGAACAGAGCCGTCACGGTTTACTGGAAGTAATTGTGGAAACATGATTATGTATCTACCTGTTGCATCTCTGCTGTTGGCAGTGTCCAGTTTACAGCTGGATGTAAAAGACCCTTGATGATTTTAAGGGTCTTTTACAGCCGGAATGATTCTGTGATCTCATATATAACAACACCTTGTTGCATACCTGTATTTCTTTCTACCAGACAGATTACCTCCATAAGCCTGGTTTATGCTGTTTAGAGACATGCATAACCCTCCTTGCAGCAGGAACAATTTGCCCACTACCACACTAAATAGCATCATCATGCAGAGTGAGATCATGGGTTATCAATGCACTTCTCGTGTTGTCCTCACACAGGACACCCTGCAGGAAAAATCAAAGGGGTGATACTCCTCAGGAATTTCAGACACTGATCTTCAGTTACGGGGATTCTGGCCTGATTTAAGTCACTCCTGCCGATGCTTAACAGTTAGATTTGGACCAAGGCAGTGTATGCTATACACACAGCAAAGTCCTTCCAGGAAAAACAGCATCTGAGAACTCACACGTGGAACAAACATTTAAGGTACTCACTGCGCTGGCTGTGGCTGGGGCAGAGTTAATTTTCTTCACAGTAGCTAGTATAGTGCTATGTTTTGGATTTGTGCTGGAAACAGTACTGGTAATTTTAGGGATGTTTTAGTTACTGCTAGTGCACAAGAAGCTGGGAGGGGACACTGCAGGATAACTGACCCCAACTGACCAAAGGATATTCCAGACCGTATTACCTCTGCTCAGCATGTAAAGCTGTCAGAAAGAAGGAAGGACACCTGCCTGACCATGGGAAGCGGTGAATGAATTCCTTGGTTTGCTTTGCTTGTGTGCACAGCTTTTGTTTTCCCTCTTAAAGTGCCTTTATCTCAACCCACATTTTTTTCTCACTTTTCTGATTCTTTCACACATCCCACCATGGGAGAGTGAGTGAATGGCCTCACACCACCTCAGACAACACTATGTTCATTACACAGGTTGAGTGACGCATTGTTCAGTGTGGACTTATCCCAACCAGCCCACTACCCTGCTCTTACCAGTTATCAACAGTTTCTAAAGGCTTCACATGAATACTGCTCCGATGTGTTTCAGTAACACACGATACAAGTACAATACACAGAACTACACTTGCCTCTTTTGTAGCCCACTGGGAATTAGCAACAGCACTGGCTTTGATTTCATTTGGATACTAGATTCCTTCTGTGATGTCAACTAGGATGTCTGGACCAGTACCGTCAAGTCTAAAGCACCAAATCTGACATGTCTCAGACACATCCCACTTGATTTCTCTGCCAGGTAATGTGTATGCTGCTCCAGTTCTTGAGAGTAACCGACTTCCTCTTTGCCTGCACCCTCTGCCAGGCCATCAGGAAAAGGTCCAGCCTTCGTATGCAGCCTTTGTGTTCGGAGATATAGATGAGCACTCCTGGCTTGACTCAGCACCAACAGCCTCATGTAAACATGACACAACTGGGTCTCATTTCTGTCAAGCAGATCAAAGACAAAACCATACCAAGCATAAAGCTGATCATTTCCAAACACCAATCCAATGCCATTCAATAAACTGCAGCTTCTCCTCCTAAGGCAGTGTGTTAATGGCAGGTTCACTCAGTCATCCAGGCATGCTCTGCTAGCTTTATCAAGAGAAACATTTTCAACAACATGTTTGTGGTTACCACTGTTGTTCAAGTTATTTTTTGGGTTCACTGGGTTTTCTTCACATCTCTGTCTTAATTCTAAGGTCTTTGAATGTAAAAGATTTCTTATATTATTTAATTGGTCAAATTCCTAAAAGGTTTCAAATTGCTTTAAGGAAGATGCTCTAAGGAAACCAGCAACAGCATATTAAGATGATATTTTCAAAGGTTAATACTTAGTCGTATTCTATACACTGTGGTCCACAAAAATCCTTGAGTACCTTCACTGGAATACAAGCATGATCTTCCAGATCTTTAAGGCAGATTTCTGGATGCAGAGCCCGTTCTCCAGCAATGATGTGTTCACAAAACTCTTCAATATTGCACTAAAAGAAGAAATGGTAGGGAGTAAACCTTTTAAGAATTTATTAACAGAAACACAGACTAAATCAGAAAAATGTCAGATTGCAAAAGAGCTCAGCCCCAAGTATTCAAAATTTAACAGATTATCACCTCTACATGGTTTCCAGGAATGCTCCAGAAGGAATCTCCTCACCAACAAAACTGGGTACTCTCACACTAAACAGTTTCTACTGAAGTAGCATTAAAAAAAGCAGAAGAAAAGGTACTGCTCAAAAACCCAGTGCTGCTGCTGTGTTTTTCCTCAGGATCTTCCTATTCAAACATCAGAATGTTTCTAAAAAAAACCAGAGGATGAGCAACTGTATATGCTCAGTATTTCCAAAATGGTAAGCTTTTTCACACAAAGCCAAATTGCCTATTATTTGCCTATAATCCCTCTGGATTACTGATTTTATTAAACAGGAAGAGAAGACTTTTACAAAGAAACAGTATTTTCATTTCATTAAGATTCCAAAAACTAAATGCAAGTATTTGCTTTTGCATGTATTGCTCTTCAAAAGAAATACTCTATTTCCATCTACCTTTGAATGGATTTTAGGTAATGATCTTCTTTCTTGCCAGGTGTGTAATCTGGTCCCATAATTTGACCTTTCTGTCGAGTAGAAGTGATACCAGAGAATACTCACCCAAAGGCACCCCTTGGCAGATGTGGGGATCATTTTGGAAATACATATCATCAGAGGGCCTTTGGCATCACAGTTTTTGAGACCTGCAATAAAATATGTACTTGTATCAGACATATTTTCTGTGAGACATCAAAACTTAGAACTATATACAAATTATTCCAAAACTCAGTGAAACTTACTAACAGCTCCTCTCTAAGTCAGTAAAGGACAAATGTGTGTGGACAGATGTGTTACAGCTATGGTAGTTATCAATGATTCATTGTGAATCATCACCACTGTTCTTTCTTTCAATACTGAGACCTTTGTTTTAGTACATGTTCCCTGCTCCCCCATGCTCCTCTCTTCTGGTAGCATCCATGGTATCAGTACATCTCTCCTAATATGAACTAGTACCAGGAGAAGTTTTGCACAGCGGGATTTAAAGATTCTCTGGAATCCATTAGAATCTAGAACACAAAATACAGCACTAGAAGTATTTTGTGTCCTCAGCGATCATATGGAAGACATGGTCAGAAGCAGGATCTCTAACCATAAATCCTACTCTGGTTTTGCCGTAAAAAGGTATTAGTTTATTGGAGGACTAAACGCATGTGCCATCACAGATCAGCTTCTCTTTTGACAATACTGGACTTGAAAATTACTTCAAATATGATTTATTTCAACATTTGTTGATTTCTGAGGGAAGTGACAAATTTACACAAGTAAAAAGAGTAAATCCTCTTGAAAATACTCAAGTTGATGATTACAGATGATTAGAGTACAGATGAATTCTTCAAAACTTAACTCCTCCCTATCAATATCAAACTAACAGCCCTGTATCAGATTCAGCTACGTGCTCTTTATCTAGTCATGATCTCAGACACACCTACTGATTTTAAATTGACAGAGGGGAGACTGAGATGAGCTCTTAGGCAGAAGTTCTTTCTTGTGAAGGTGCTGAGGTGCTGGCACAGGGTGCCCAGAGAAGCTGTGGCTGCCCCATCCCTGGCAGTGTTCAAGGCCAGGTTGGACAGGGCTTGGAGCAAGCTGCTCTAGTGGAAGGTGTCCCTGCCCGCGGCAGGGGATTTGAACTGGATGAGCTTTATGACCCCTTCCAACCGAAACCACTCTGGGATTCTATAAGTCTATCATATTGACTGAAATGTTAAGAGAACATTCTCTGGAAATTAAAATCTAGTTGGCTTATTCCTGCCACACAGATAAATCGGCTCTGATTTAAGAATGGAATAGAAATATAATACAATCGTAGCTGAGAGTCCTTTGTTTCAGCAACTAGATTTTCCTTGTCTCTAAATTGGAGAGACATCAATTTGACAGATGTAACACTCAGTGGATAAAGAACTGGCTGGATGGCTGCACGCAAAGAGTTGTGGTCAGTGGCTCAATGTCCGGCTGGAGACCAGTAACGAGTGGGGTCCCTCAGGGATCGGTGTTGGGACCGGTCTTGTTCAACATCTTTGTCGCTGACATGGACAGTGGGATTGAGTGCACCCTCAGCCAGTTTGCCGATGACACCAAGCTGTGTGGTTCGGTTGATACCCTGGAGGGAAGGAATGCCATCCAGAGGGACCTCGACACGCTTGTGAGGTGGGCTGATGCCAACCTCATGAAGTTTAACCATGCCAAGTGCAAGGTCCTACACCTGAGTCAGAGCAATCCTAAGCACAGCTACAGGTTGGGCAGAGAAGAGATTCAGAGCAGCTCTGCGGAGAAGGACTTGGGGGTGTTGCTTGATGAGAAAATGAACATGAGCTGGCTTCAGTGTGCGCTCACAGCCCAGAAAGCAACCGTATCCTGGGCTGCATCAAAAGGAGCGTGACCAGCAGGTCAAAGGAGGTGATCCTGCCCCTCTACTCTGCTCATGTGAGACCTCACCTGGAGCATTGTGTGCAGTTCTGGTGTCCTCAACATAAAAAGGACATGGAACTGTTGGAACAAGTCCAGAGGAGGGCCACAAGGATGATCAGGGGGCTGGAGCACCTCCCGTATGAAGACAGGCTGAGAATGTTGGGGCTGTTCAGGCTGGAGAAGAGAAGGCTGCGTGGAGACCTCATAGCAGCCTTCCAGTATCTGAAGGGGGCTTATAAGGATGATGATGAGGGACACTTCATTAAGGACTGTAGTGATAGGACAAGGGGCAACATGTTAAAACTTGAATAGGGGAAGTTTAGACTGGATATAAGGAAGAAGTTCTTTACTGTGAAGGTGGTGAGGCACTGGAATGGGTTGCCCAAGGAAGTTGTGAATGCTCCATCTATGGTGGTGTTCAAGGCCAGGTTGGACAGAGCCCTGGGTGACATGGTTTAGTGTGAGGTGTCCCTGCCCATGGCAGGGGGGTTGGAACTAGATGATCTTAAGGTCCTTTCTAACCCTAACTATTCTATGATTCAATGATTAAGCTGCAGACAATTTTAGCCATAAAACAAGCTCGTGCAGGATGGTGATCTTTAAACAAAGGGTCTGAAAACTCTGATGAGAAATTTTATAACTATTTTGTGGAAAAAGTAATATCTGAAGCTCCTTGATTCTGACAATTCCTTAGTCTAACAGCTGGACCACCAAAAGAAGACTTACAGTTGACTTTAATTTACAATTCTCAGCTATGATATAGGAAATAGTATTTGTCTTTCTATTTTAAAACCATCCTTTCAGAGATACCATAGAATCACAGAATAGTTTGGGTTGGAAAGGACCAAATCTTGGAAAGATTATCTGCTTCTACCCCCTTTATCATGTGCATATCCAGCACACTATGACATAATTAATGGTAGAGTAACAGAGACCTACATCTTTAGATCAGAAAAAGAGCAAATTAAATGTCTTACCAGTCAGGAATAGCAGAAAGGCCGTGCTTCTTGTCGTGTAAGTGACAGAAGCAGCAAACTCAGGCACAGAAAGATAATCTTAGGCTTTTAATCCTTTGCCTTGAACTTCAAATCATTCCTTCCCTTTAGCAGTTTGCCCCAGGCAAATGTCTGACACTTGATGTTTGAATGACACTGAGCAATAGCTTCAGGTTACATGTTTTGTTACTGAGAAAGTAACATTACTTTCAGGATGTTCTGCTTTATGAATTCTCTCTCCTAGTTGCTTTTGCTGCCCTATTCCTTGGTCTGAAATATGTTCCCAGAAGAAAAGGAATGAAACACTGGGGGTGAAAGGCGACTGAGGAACAGCTCCTTCGGGTTGGCATAAATGTTCACACTTGTTTCATATCAAGACTGGTATTCTCCAAAATATGACTTCAACCACAGCAAAGTTTTAGTTTTCTTTACCATAATTTTACTCACTGGTCCAGTTTCACCCTCTCTGTAGGTGGAAATGATGACACTGACAATTTCCACAACACACTGAAACGTCTTGCTAAATTTTCTCATTGCAGCTCCAGCAGCAATTCCAGCAAAGCACGATCCATTTTTGTCCATCATCAGTATTGGTTTGATACATTCTGCAACAGTCTCTGCAGAACAGCCTCTGCCTGTACACAAACCCTTAAAAAAAATATGTAAGCACAACTAAAACATTAACTATATATATGGCCAAGGTCTCACTGTACTTTGTATAGTGGTGACTGGGAAACTCAGACTGGGAATATGGTGGTTGTCTCAGTGCTCCCTGAAACGGTTGTTACACAGTTGTATCGCTCAATTTTCTAGCTGAAGGAGGGAAAGAATGACAGGCAGCTCCAGTACCTAAGATTTTACTGAAATGCAGTTACTCTGCATACAACCCACAAGCATGATAGGAAGTGAATATAATCCTCCAAGGTACAGGAAGGGCCATGGGCTAAGACTGCAAATCAGAATTCATACCATTAGAAGTTAAACTTTCAGAGAAAGAAGCTTCTTTCATCACTCACAATTCTTATTTTTTTTTAAGGGGAAGAAAATACACTGAGGCCTTTCTAATTAGAAGAGTATGCTTACCTGAAACACAGTCAGCCACATCAAGGACATCATTAATGGCATGGAAAGCTGCTGTAACTTCAGAGGAAAAACAAACATGTCCAGGGGAGCCAATTAAATTAATGAGATAACCTGAACCATCCTACACTGTTTGATGAAGGCCAAGTTGTTGTTTGAGAGTTCATAACACATAGAAATCGCCCTGTAAGAGAAGACAATTAATTTTAATAATTTAATAAGGTTTCATAATTTGCTGATTTTAAAATCTGCATTGGTCAGGCAAACAAACCTGCTCTGTTACAGTCCAAATATTTTTTGACATATTTACAGGAATAACTACAGGACTCCAATATTTCCATTTCTAAAGATTTTAGGATCTAAAATTCTGCTTTGGGTTTAAGTAGGTTTTACTCTTACTCAAAATCAGCACCTCGAGATGGTACTCACAGAATAATACCACTTTCAGACACTTGTAAAGTCACGCTCTAAATCACTTCGCAACTTCTTAACTTTGCAGTTGCAGACTTCAGAGTCATAATAACAGAGCCCACTGCAGTGGCTTGGGGGGCAGGGTGCTGGCCTGTAAGCAAACCAATAAAACAAAGTAAAAATAAAAAAGGTTACTACTAAGAAACTTTCTGAAAGCACCCTTCTCCATAGTCAGAAGCAGGTAAGAAGGTTTGCTAGGTATCACTTAAAAGCTCTACTCCAACAGTGGACAGATTGCACTCCAAAGACTGTGAACTTCTGTAATGCACAGCTCGATTTACATGTCAACTTAAGAAAGACCTGATAAGATGTAATGCTTTGAGCAAACTATTTTTTTGTCTTCCCATTAAAGAGAAAGTGAGTGAAACCCAGAGAAAGCAAGAGAAAGACAGAAAGTGAGAGAGAAAGAAAGACAGAGAAAGATAGAGGAAGAAAGCAAGCAAAAGGAAGAAAGTGAAAGAAAGAGAGAAAAGGGAAGGAGGGAGGAAGGATGGAAAGGAAGGAAGGAAGGGAGGAAGGAAGGAAGGGAGGAAGGAAGGGAGGAAGGAAGGGAGGAAGGAAGGGAGGAAGGAAGGGAAAGAAGGAAAGGAAGGGAGGAAGGGAAGGAAGGGAAGGAAGAGAAGGAAGAAAGGGAAGGAAGGGAGGAAGGGAAGGAAGGGAGGAAGGGAAGGAAGGGAGGAAGGGAAGGAAGGGAAGGAAGGGAAGGGAGTGAAGGAAGGGAAGGGAGGGAAGGGAGGGATTGAGAGAGGGAAAGGAAGAAAGGGAGAGAGAGAGAGAGGGAGGAAGGGGGGGAAAGAGACGGAGGAAGGGGGAAAGAGAAGGAGGAAGGGAGAGAGAGAGGGAGGGAAGGAGAGAGGGAGGAAGAAAGAAAATTCTTATGTAGACTTGATTGTGATCTTTCTTGCTCATTTTCCTGTGTGTCTGTGAACCATGTTTCTTTGGCTTTGTCTGATGCAATGGTGCCTGCTTTACACACCGAGGAGTCTGTCAAGGCTGATTTGCCATGATTAGCATGAGCAACCACCCATATATTCCTGATCTTGGCCTTATCCAGGATTGGTAGCATCTGGTCTATTGTGAAATTCACCTGGATGTGGGAGAAAAAAAACAACAACAAAATCAGCTACTGTTTCTTGTTAAAATCTATACACGTTTATGTGTAATTTTAAACTTTTACTATTTGTTATTAAATTCTAAATTCAAAGAAGAAATGAAGTTACTCATACTTTAAAGCTTACTATTATAAATAGCTGTTCACATTTTTGGCATGTTTTTGTAAGTATGAAGTGTGGAGGCATAACTTAAAACACAGCTCAGATTTTGTATCACAAAATGTCAACCATCACAAAACCGAAGAATCCACCTGCGAAGAGAGAACAGCTCATCCCTACCAAATGGTACACGCCGGTTAGCACACACAGCTGCAAGCTGCAGCTCTCATCAGAAATCCTACACATCTGCCCTCCATCTCCCATGGTTTTCCAGGTGATCTACTCTTCCTGGTTTCGGGAAGAGGCTGGGTTTTCTCCTTCTGTAGCCAATATACTCTAGAAACTGAAGTAAAAAACCTTTAAGACTTCTATTATCCAAGTGCAAAATTTGTAGAGCTCCTCTCACAGATGATAACCCAGAAAGAACTTTTTCTTATTTCTGTAATCGTTCTATTGTTCTATCTCTGTACTAAGAACAATTCTCCTTCAATTTGCAGGAAAGAACATCTTGACCTTCAGAAGCATTGGTAATTATCTATTGAGCAGAATGACAACTTAGCAAAGTAAGATGAGATCGTACTAATCTCGGTCTGCCTCATTCTGTAATGAGTCACCTGTAGGTCACAGGAGTACAGTTAATGTGGTTATTCTTGCCAGTCCCTTTAATGTATGAAGTCCTTCATAGAACACGGAAAAAGACAGAACTGGGAGGAGAAAATGAAGGGGAAAGTTAAATAAACAAAACCAGATGTCATTATGCCACCTCAGTCGTTTATACTAATTGCTCAAGTAAGAAATTTGTACTGTAAAAAAGACTTAAACAGGCTCCTCATCTGTGCTGGAGTTGCAAATGACAGAGAAATAACACGAACAAAGGTTTTCAACACAGTCTGGGTATTACTAAGTGCATCTGAACACAGAGAACTTGTCTTCCTGCAAGGATAAGAGGTTAATTAAAAAAAAACCCAGAAAGTCCCAACAATTCAGCCCTACTCAAAATATATGTAGGAGACAAAACAAGTTTGTTTTTTTTTTTTGTTTTTTTGCATGAACAGATGCAATTCTGATATATATCATATTACTGCATAATCTCATACTAACTTTGGATCTTAGGTTCGATTTTTTCATTATATGTTTTCTCAAGAAAATTGTTCTTATTAAGAAAATGAATACTTCAATTAAAATTACATTAAGATAGCCAAGTTTCTTTTAGAGGTGAGAAATATCCAAAATAAGCAGCAGCCTGGCCTCTTCCCCCCAAAACGTATTATTTCACTGCTCTTCCCTACATTTACAATTTCCTTCCTATCTCCAAGTCTGCAACGGAGAAAACAACCAACCCACCCCCATCTTTTTTCTGCTAAAAAAAATTTAGTACAAACATAATTTTTAAGAGTATGCTTATGGTTTTGTCAGTGATCTACCTCAAATGAAGGAAATTAATTTCTAGCTTTAATCTGCCACTGATATTTCTTTTTCTAGAATCTTCAGGTGTGTCCTGGCATCCAAAGTCTCATTCCCAGCAAAATTTACATATTTTTTCTGATACCTGGAAATACATCTTGCTTTTCCTTTCTTCTCTTTCTTTTCTATTTAAACAGCACCACTACTTTTATTTTCTACTTTCATCACCTTTCCTGTTTTAAATTGTGCTGTGCTAAAAATACCCAGTATTTTTAGTGACAATTCAGTGCTAGAGAAGCACCATATACATTTAATTCATAATGTAAATAAACACTTCAGTATAAGAAGTATGCCTGTGTATACCTCCTCTTTGTATTTGCTAATTACATATTTAATGGATCAAGTGAAGTTTACTTTTGGTAAATGCTTAACTAGCACAGATACCACATATTGAACTGAAACCTGTATTTTTTTCATTGTCTCCCAGCACATTTATATACACAGGCTACACTGCAGTTTTCTTTTGGGGTATGGAGCAGAGATGACCAAAATGGTTCATTTCTTCCTCACAGTTTAAGCACAGAGGCCTCCTACGCATGACCATGTATTTTAATTCTAGATGTAAACATCACACACATGTTCCTTCAACAGAACTGGATGTTCTCCTACAGACTATTTATGCAATTAATATAATCTGAGAAAGGAGGGTATCAGGTTTGTAAAACCTTGAATTGTGTCTAAAAATGATGGAGCTCTCCATCTGGATTAATTCTCTCTCAATGTTACAAAAGTAGAATGAAAAGACATACACAGAGGTTCTGTAATACAAGACATGGATGGAAAATGTTAGTTTTGCACTTTAGTTGCTCGGTGTTTCAAGAAGTCATTAAAATATTACATTGTGATGGGACTGGAGTAACATGGGTTTTAGATGGAAAAGAATCGCTACGTCATGGTGATGGGAAAGAGAGATTAAAAGCTCTAGAGCAGGGTAAGACAGTGCTGGGTGGGAAGAGAAAGACAAGGGGAATCTACAACGAAGTTTAAGGGGTTAGATGGACTGTGGGACCTAAAGCTCCACAGTATTACAACTAAGCAGAAATCACCACAGTCAAGGAAGTAAAGAGGCAGGCCTCCATAAGTGACCTCAAAGCTTCTTCTGGTAAGTCTCATGGCAGGTCAATGCCAACAACATGAACTTATTTTCATTTCCAACTTTCCACCTCAATCACAAGACTGCATCTCTTCCCAGAAACTGAAGGTCTAGTGTCTTAGATACTGCTGCATTAGTACTTTTTGCCAGGTCTATGACAATATATCATACATGGGCATTACACTTTCAGCCTGTAAGAAGTTAATACTGAGAACCACACTTAGCTAAGTGTCACTCCTTTATTATTTCTTGGTTCATCCCTTGGCCTAAATGAGTATTTTTAAGAGCTAGCGCGCTTTTAATTCACTTTGTTATATCACAGTAGCTGTTCTTGTTAATATAACTGGGTGAACCCTCTTTAAGTTTCTGCTAATTAGCTTGTTAATAAAATATACTGTATTAGAAAAGATAAAGAGTTCAATCAAGCATTAATATTAATGTCTTACCAGACCTTCTTGCAGGAACTTTGGGATTATGTATTAATAAATGCTATCCTCTTCCAAACATTTTACTTACCACTTCATTTACATAAATGCCAAACTAGAGTTTACCATATGTGCTGTTCTTTAAGAGAGAGGCACTGGCATCACATTTTTTTGGGTCATAAATGGAACTGAAAACACAAAGGCCCATTAAAAATTAATAGCTATTTTAATCTTAAATGTTTTTCATTAAAGAGCTGTTACAGAGTTTCTGCCCTGCTGTGACAGTCAGCAACCAGATCAAAGTTACCTTGCTGTGAAATTCTTGCTACCAGGCTAAGCTCTTCTGTGTGCAATAGCCAGGGACAAAAACATGAAGGAGATGAAAGCAACGTTTTTAGAAGGTAGAAACTTCACTGCTTCATTATAAACAGAACATCACTTCTGCCTAAACCCTCAAGTCTCATGGCCACTACAACCTGAAAATGACTTTGCTCTTTTTAAATACTGCATTACATCATTTAGGTAGCCTAAACTGTGCTGCTTATCCCTCGCTATCAGTAACAGCTCCAGAGTAACTCCCTTTCTCTCCTCCAAGGCATCTCTTGCTCTTAAAGATGTTCAAATTCGTACTGTAACAAACCATTACATGGCTTCAATTCATAGACACATATTCTAAAACTAAAGAAAAACGAAACAGTAATACATATACAGTGAAAAATTACACGAACTTAAAAAAAAGGAGGAAGGAGTTCCAATGGCGTTATCAAGAAACGCAAAAATGTACACGCATCTGTTTATCACAGAAACAGGGTGGTAAATTCTGATTCATCAGAAAAAAAAAAAAGGCTCAAACCAGTTGAAACGTGTGAAACGCACTATCAGAGCCGTGGTGATTTAAAATAATGGGGCAGGCTTGCTAAGGGGGAAAATACATTTAAAAACTAGAACAACTCACCCTGCAGTCTTTCTAAAAGTGACTGATTTCTCTGAGAAACTGCTAATCTGATTCAGGTCAGACCATTCTACCTAGAGATAAATGCAGTGTAATACATGTATTCACACATACTTGAGCAACCAGCCCCAGCGGAAGGTGTCCCTGCCTGTGGTAGGGGGTGGAACTCGTAAGGTCCCTTTCAACCCACTCTGTAATTCTATGGTATGCATGGCCTTTTCCCAGTCCTCCTACCGCTGTAAACGTTACAAAGCTGTACGCCCTAACAAAAGAACATGAGTATGACAAGAACGAATAAATAATCTCAGCGGTCCCACAGCACGGTCAGGGCCACCTCAGCGCTACCGCCCGCACTCCCGTCAATACCGGCAGAGGGCGGGAGCCGCCTTCCCCGCTCCTAAGCCGGAGCCCGGCACTGAGGCGGAAGGAGGGAGAGCTCTTGACAAGTACCGTGCCCCTGCGAGGGTCAAGCGGGGGTGCTCTGCCCGGCTGCCCTTTACCAGCCCGCCGTGCCTGACTGGCTGCACTGGACTGGCGCGGTGGGAAACATGGCGGCCGTGGCCCCGTCGGGCAGCCTCGCAGCACCTCTGTGAGCAGTGTCTTGGCCTCCCCCCCCCACCCTGGAGCTCTCACTCACCGTCGCAGCGGATGGCTCCGGATGCCACCGGCCGCCGCCGCCTCAGCCGGGAGGAGGGAACGAGCCCGAGGATCCCGCTTCCCCCCGCCGAGCGCTCGGGGTGTGCCGAAGGGCGGGCTCTCTCCCCTCACGGGCGCCTGTCCCGCTCTGCCGCCGCCTGCTCCCGCTGTGATCTTCCCCGGAGGTGAGCTGCCCGCTCCCGCTGCGAGCCTCCCGGCCGCTTTTCCTCGGAGCTCCCTTCCAACGGTGTCCCTTTGACCCTCACGCCGCCATGACCCTCGAGGGTCTCTCGCTCCCTCACACGGGGGCCGGCTCCCGGGGTACCGTGAAGGGGCGGCACGGCGTACCAGGCAGAGCTGCCACACAGCGGGTTATGGCTGCCCGGGGCTCGTTGGTAGCCCGGTGGCTGCGGGGAGGTGGAGGAAAGCCCCGATTGCCACCATCGCGCTAGTGCGTGCGGGCTCTTGTCAGCTCTCGGGTAAACGTTAGGTGGAGCCCCTTCCCTTTCTTTCCTTTCCTTCAGCCCAGGCGGCTATGGTGGTTCTCCGCTCGGCCGCTGCGGTGGGTTTTTCCTCTCCGGATGTTTATAGTGTCGGAGCGGCAGGTTTGATTGTCTTGCTTTGAGCAGGCTTCGGTGCCGTAACCCCTCATTAGTCTCTTTTAAAAATAGGTTAAATGACTGATGGGTTCGCTGCTGAAACGTGAAGGTGACATAGCGTGCCTTTAAAAATAACTTCCTGTCATGGAAGACGCTGAGGTAATAACAGAGCTTCACGTTTTTAACACAGACGTTTAGTCACAAATGTCTCTTGGAAGTGTTGGATAATTAAACTGTCAAGCACTGGGTGAGCACAAGAATACCTTCACTGAAAGCACCAACTTCTGGGATCAAACTAAGGGAAAATCTATAAAATAATACTTCCTAAGTGAAGATAAGGCTGTAGAACCAAACTGTTATGTAAGCATATTACCATATTCATCAAATGAATAATGATGATTACCAAATTCATCAAATGAATAATTCATCAGGACCTGTAGGGCCAGGCCAAGGGGAATGGCTTTAACCTGCCAGAGGGGAGACTGAGATGAGCTCTTAGGCAGAAGCTCTTCCCTGTGAGGGTGCTGAGGCGCTGGCACAGGGTGCCCAGAGAAGCTGTGGCTGCCCCATCCCTGGCAGTGTTCAAGGCCAGGTTGGACACAGGGGCTTGGAGCAAGCTGCTCTAGTGGAAGGTGTCCCTGCCTGTGGCAGGGGGTTGGAAATGGCTGAGCCTTAAGATCCCTTCCCACAAACCAGTCTGTGATTATATGATTCTTCCCATTCATCTCCTGTGACTTTACACTGCTGTTCTACTCCTCTCTTTCTCTTGAACAAGAAATATTTACCAGATACTTTGCTGGTAAGCTTTTTCTACCCAAAGGTTCATTTTTCTTTTAGCATATCTTCCAGGGACTGTGAAGCAGATGTCAGAGGTCCTCCTGTAATGAATCAGGTTGTATCACAGCAGAGGAAAAGCACTGTTGTTTTGTTCTGAAGATCTGGGTAGCACTTACATGGGCTTCCATATGCAGACTGAGCTCTGTGGACAGTTCTCTGTCAACATGTACAGTTCTTTCTGAAGACTTGAGGGCTCATCACAGAACCACATTTTCCTTGTGCCTGTGTGCATGCATACACGCTATTTTAGGGCCATTTTCACAGCTGGTGTTTAACCGTGACCCTATAAATAGGATTGAAATTAGCTTCATTTTCCTTTATCTTTTACTGCATTCCAATTTATGCCAAATTCTGCAAGAAAACAAAGCTTTCAGAGTAGTTGAAAAGTTTCCAATATAAGAGTCTCCCTGAAAAAATTAAAACCTCAGGCCCTCAGTGTTTACTGGCTTGGCATCTTCATGGGTATTTTATTCTGTATATGACCTCCTTTCCATTTAAAAATGAGAACTCGTACACAAAGTACTTTTCAGCCTGTACACTACCCAAAGAATCTTCTTATAGGTGCCAGCCCTTCCTTTTCCCACATTTGTTTTTCCCAAGAACACAGCCTCCTTTTTTTATTTCTGGAGCAATTACTTATTTTCACCTTCACAGCATCACCTTCAGCCATGGATATAGAGAGTGCTGTACTAGACCTCGTCTGATTGTATCTGCAGTAAAACCAGTCAACAGAGTCAGCTAAATAGTGCCTGAAGAATTAAAGTTGTGCCTATAGAGATAGCTGGCTGCTTGCTATTCAGTGCAAATTTTAAGGGCATAAGTAGAATTGAAGCAATACATTATTGTTCTGCCTGGCTTCTGCATTCCAACTTGATTTTTTTTTAATATGTTGTGATGTGCCTTAGAGAATCTAAAATCATTTCCTTAATAATAATTGCTCTGTATTTAGAGAGGTGTAAATAACAGTAGACTGTAGAAAATTGTGGAGGTTTGGAAAACTCTGAAAAGAGAGGTTTGTAAAAGCTGTAGCTTCATGAAAAGAAGTTGCTCCAGATGCACTCATTATTGCTTCACCATTGTATTAATGGTACAAAGAGGCAGCGTCTTTATTCAGTATAGTAGGAAAAAGATGCTTTGTGGCTTTATACCTTTATATCTGTGCAGCAGGAGCAGTCATGATGGAACAGGAGGAGCCGTTTTCTACTTCCAGTGTTTCTTTAGAGTTTTTAGTCCATTTTTGCTTACCTGTTTTGCTGTGGGTCCTCTCTTTTTCATACATGTTGCATAAGTTCTTCGTATGTAGTGCCTGATGCACTTTGGTCTAGATTCTGCTTTCTGTTCAGTTGGTTTTCTTTGTAGTGCGTGGAGTACTTGGTTTTCCATGGCTGTAACTGAGAATGTCTATACAAATGAATTTTGGTAACTTTCAGTAGTTTAGAAGATGGATGTTACCAAAGGTTACTTGTGCATAGACTTGTGTGGGCAGGCAGGACCTACTCTTGCATCCAGGTTAGCCAAGCAGAAGGCAGCTCTGACGTAAAGGCACACGGCCTATCTGCTCTGGTTTTGAGCCAGTAATGTCCCTCTTTTCTCAGGGTGGCACTCTATTATCATTACTGTATAGCTTTCACACTGGTATTGCCTCAGATCTTGGGAGTTCTGAGTGCATCTGAAGAGCTCAAGTCTGCCTTTGCCTGCTTGTATATAGGATTTTCTTCCAGAACAGTTCAAATTTGAACCTTTTTTGGATAAGAATCTTACCTTATCCACCTTAACCAACAACTTAGCTTGTTGAGTAAATCCAGGGTCTTATTTGTGTGTTATTCAAATGTGTTGACTGAAATATTTTTTCATTCACAGTATTAGTACACTTAAGAAACTGCAGTTAATTCAGATCGAGTGGTAGCCCATTTTATTTAAAATTGCACTTCTCTAAACCAAACCATCAATACCACTGAGGAGATCCTCTGAAGGCAGCAGGTTTATCCGTGTTTCAGTATATTACCTATTTGGATCCAATTTCTAGTAATGATGCATAAGCAAAACAAAACCGCAACTTTATTATTAAGCCAATCTAAAAGGAATGCTTTCACTGTTGTAAGGTGCCTGATGAGGTTTACAGCTCGCTCTTTACAGCTGATGATTCACAGCATTTTTGGACCACTAACAGGGACCAGTCCTGCAGATTTTTCATCAAGGAAGCAGTTGACCATTTCCTCAAAATACTACTGTGAATATTCTGCTTTGCAGTATTTCTGTATGGCTAAAAGCCTCTGATGGATGTGCTTGTGACAGCAAAAAGGTACCTGGCCAATAGAGTGTTAGAACTTATGTGAAACTGATGCCCAGTAAACCTTGTAAAGAGCATAAAAAGTCTAAAATATTTGATTTTTAGGACTGTGAAAAGAAAATCCTATTAGTTGCAAGTTGAAGTTGAATGGTATATAATAATCTTGAAAGGCAGAGAATAATTTCACCACAAGTTTTGGGGATTTTCCAGGGTAGCTCTGCTTTTAAAGCAGAAAGTTTTCTTAATCTGTTGCCGTAGGTTTTTTTGACTTACTAACCTTTCATGTCAAGCAGCCTGTGGGTTTGAACTTTTGACTATCCCACTAAACTGAATTTCATCCTGAAACTTAGGTAACCAAGGGTACATGGTTATATATTATATATTAAGTATTACTTTAACTTATTTTCCTTATAGGGTTTTTCCTAACAGCATGCAACTTATTTAAAAATATCAATCAGCAAGCTGATGCGTTCTTTTGCTACTTTTTTTCCTTCGATTATGCATTGTCTGTAGTCAAGCAGTCTCTTCAGATTTTGTCTGCACCCCAGAAATGCCTGGTTCAGTCTCACAAAATATTAGACTTTTAACAGAGTTGCAGGGCCTGCCTAGTGATGGAAAGAGACAGGCGCTTCAGGAGGGCATTTCAGCTTTTTGTTTGCCTATGATTTGTTGTGGCTGAATGACTAGTAGAATATGCCACATGGTATTACTTCTGCTCCTTCAGTGAATAGTTTGCAAGGATACACAATATTGATACTAACACATAAAAGCAGCACGTGATTTTCAAAAGCACTGTCTTTGTGTTGCATTTATTCTGTTCTCCTTAGATCAGTGAGACTGAGGTTATCATTGGTTTGAAATAGTTTGTGCCCAAATGACTGTTCTTGAAAACCCAAGTTGTAAAAATGATTTTTCTGCAAAGATCACTATGTGTAAATTTGGAATGGATCATGTGATAATTTGTGCTAGTGAAACATACTTGCCTGTGTACTTGCACCAAATGAGCAAGAACATGACTGAACCAAGTTAATTTGAGTTGAAAGTTGGTCTCCTAAATAGAGCACCTATTGCTATTGGTTTGGGAAGTGAATGATACTGCTTACCTACCTTATCATAATTCATTATTATGATGCATCTTATAATTAAGTACAGCTATGCTAAATAATAATATTGAATACAGTGATATGGGTGTAGAAGCAGTGATGTTTTATCAGAGACTCTGTAGTGTTCATTCAGTTCTCGTTATAAAATAGCATGAAAGGAAGGAAGTGTTTCTGTGCTTCAGGAAGAATACAGGCAGGCTTTATACAGTGAATTAAATAAGGGATACCACTCAGCTTCCTGATAATTTTGCTACATTCAGAACGTCTGCCAAATTGCACTGAAAAGGTCACATCTGTTTATCTGGAGCAAGGTATGTTCCGTAATTGATTGAAAAGAAAGGTATAAGCCAAGTGGCAATGCAATAGCAGTGCCCTGAGCAAACCCAGTGCAGAAGTAAATACAATTTCAAGAAGCTCTGTCAGGAATGAGCAGTCTCAGTGAACCCACGTGTACATGGTTTGAAGTCTCTAAGGAATTTCTAGATCTTTATTACGCAGATATAATATATATTACTCAGCAAACAGATTAAGACTGAAAGCTCCCAGCTTGAGCCAAACTCAGCATCCATGTGCCTTGATAAAGCCACTGTGAGCACTTTCAGTACTGGAATGGGGAAGTTGTCATTTCAAAGCCCAGTTGTATCAGCCCCTTGGGGCATTCAGACTACATCTCTGGTTACAGCCTGCCAAGGCAGATGTGCCTCTTTCAGACAATGGCTATCACTGGTCTAAGGCGCAGTGTGATGGCTGGAGGAAGGGCGGTCTCACTAAAGGGGGTGGAACAATGACCACAGTGACTTGGTTGGATTGGACTTGGAGCAACCTCCTGTAGTGGAATAGCTCCCTGCCCGTGGCAGGGGTTTGGAACTGGATGGGTGTTGAGGTCCCTTCCAACACAAACCATGCTATGAAACCATTATTAATCCAGGCTGGTGAAGCAAATTGAGAGTTTCACCATCTTCCTCTCATAGCATAACTGCAGTGAGTCTTGTAATAATCAGCTTTATTCACTTTTTTTTGGGAAAAACTGACTAGAGCAGAATAGAGCCAAGATAACTGTCACAGACCTACTGTCGGGAAGGGAAAAGCATTACTGCTACAATAACATCACTGTTAAATATTTCTGCTTATCTGATAGGATAGTTAAAGAGCTTTTTGTGTAATCTTTGATTCTTCCGGGGACTCCCATCTTATAACTACTTCTTCCCTCATGCAGCAGCAGACATGAGCAGATACTGTAATGCTAAATGTGTTCACAGTAATAAATGGCATTATAAAAACTGACTGTAATCAGGGGTAAAAGCGTCTGTTGTGGTCCTGAACATTTTTTCATGGTCAGTTCCTTACAAAACAGTATTTTTCATTTTACAAGCAGAAGGGGGGTTTTTATAATGTCTCTCTCCCCCCCCACCCCGTGCTCCCTTGAAAGCTGAAAAATAAACTCTTCAGTGTCTTTGATGTAGCTGTGATGCATCATGTTTCTGCAGAGCAGTTCTGTCAGTGATGCATGAGACAAAGTAGCATCCAAGCCATTCTTTCAAGTTTCCATTTGGTCAGAATGCCAGCAGTTCATGTACCTGTTTTTGTCATTAGGTGGAACAGACAGGAACTGGTTTTTTATCCTTGGCCTGACTGTGTTTCATAATCAAATGTTCCTTTAAAGCTGGGAAATTACATTAACATCAGAGAAAAAAAAAGAAAAAGGCAGAATTTCTCTTTTAGGCACTGCCATATGTCTTTCCAGGTGGAAATACAACAGGGTGCATTAAGGCAAGGATTTTGGAGAGGCCCTGTTGTGCTTGGCTTTTGAAAAGCGTATGGTGCAATAATATTGCACCTCTGACGGTAAATTTTCCTTCTTTTGTCTTCTCTGGGAAGTCATTCTAATATATATTCAACTATTCTGCTTGTGGTAGGAATAGAGTGCTCCTCCATCTTCAAAACTATGTGTTAGATCAGGTCCCACTTCAGAGAGAACTCTGGAAGAAACACAGAAAAGGTATGAAAAATTTCCTCGCTAATTGTCTGAACCGCCATTGCAATGTAGAAGAGGTTACGGAAGCTTGGATTTCAGTTGCCTGAATGGAGATGTTAGGATGCTGAAATTCCAGGAGAAGGAATCTCTCCCCATCTTAAAGCAGTAGCTGCTCCAAAGGAAAATAGTGCTGGTCTTCAGCCAATTTTTTCTCCCCCTGCAGTAATGCTGAGCTCAGCTGGTTTGGTCTCAGGGCTTCTTTCGTAGCCTTGTAGGTGACTGTGTGGAAAGTGTTGAATGTCAGAATTTATTATTTATTGTTTTAAGCTTTTCAGTGCACTTTTCAGGGCATGATGCTGCAGAAGCATTAGCAAAACCTGAGTTCCTATCATCCTGCTCTTTCTTCCATGCTTGGCCAGCCATGTCTAGGAATACACAGCAAGCTTCGCATACCCAGGGTCTTCATTTTTGTGGAATCCAGTGAAAAGCTTCAGACACATAGAATCACAGACTGGTTTGTGTTGGAAGGGACTTTAAAACTCATCCATTTACAATCCCCTGCCACAGGCAGGGACACCTTCCATGAGAGCAGGTTGCTCCAAGCCCCATCCAGCTTGGCCTTGAACACTGCCAGGGATGGGGCAGCCACAGCTTCTCTGGGCACCCTGTGCCAGCGCCTCAGCACCCTCACAGGGAAGAACTTCTGCCTAAGAGCTCATCTCTTTCTCCCCTCTGGCAGATTAAAGCCATTCCCTCTTGTCCTGTCCCTAGAGGCCCTTGTCCAAAGCCCCTCTCCAGGTTTCTTGTGGCCCCTTTAGGCACTGGGAGCTGCTCTAAGGTCATCCTGGAGCTGTATGTTTTTGTAAGTATAAACACATTAAGGAGTAGAAGCACAGGGAGAAACATACATAGCAAACCTTCACAATTCTGATAAGCCCCAACTTTTTAATGAGAAATGTTGAGAAATATTCCCATAAACTGTGGAGTTCTGAGGTTGCCTTTATTCTAAGGTAAACTTATTATGGGGCCAAAGGGAGCTCCTTATGGACACCAGCTCTTCTCCATCAAGTACATACATGGGTGGCAGAGAAACATTTTATCCCTCCTATTCCCTCTTCTCTCAGGCAATCCTGCAAATTTGCCTGATTTGGAAGTTTTAATCTACCAGTAGGAAAGTTGCTGTAGGGAATGGTCATTAATTTCACTGTATTAAGAGTCCAGATTTAGTGGGGATGTGTTTTAAACAGAATGAGTTTCCCAGAGCTTGGGGAGAGCACTTTCTAAGTGACAGTGTCAAGTAAACATGCAGCTTTAGAATACAGAGATTGCAAATTGTACCAGAAATGGAGAAGTCCTGCGGTGTAACTTCTTGCGTGTTAGCATATTTATGTGAGTGATCTAACCAAGCTCATACATTCATCCAGCTTTAAAACTTCAAAACTGATTTGAGGTGTAAAATGTGATGGAGAGTTGATAAGGCAGGGACATTGCTCCAGATGTCATTTGCAGTCTGCTGTTACAGTTCAGTCTTACTGGAGATCTACCTGGAGGCATTTAGCAGGAGCAGAGCTGCTTTGTGCTATGTGTTAAAACACTAGTAGGCAGTGCTGGCCTCAATTAGCTATTAATCTAATAGCCCAGATTCTGCAAATTTCAACCTATTTCATGTTACCACTCTACTCATGTGAGTGGCCCCAAACAGGCCAGTGTTTGAGTCAAGTTACTTGTGAGAGTGTTTGCAGAATTAACCTGTAGATTCAGCATTTAACTCAAAATTATGCAGGAAATAAATTTTCTGCCCTTTTTAGCAGTCATAGCTGTAAAAAGTTGCACTGATTTACTCTTTTAGATTTAGAACCTTGTTCACATTTTAAGAGATTTACCTCTTCAAAGACAGCTTGATAGCAGAAATGCTTCTTAGAGAAGTTCTATTGGCTGCAGGGGATTTCAGTGCCACTGGCACATCTGAAAGAGCTTTTTAAAATCAGGCATCTAGCTCAAGAGTGAGGCTTCCCCTAACACAAACAGCTGTTTCTTGTCACGTAAGAGAGAAAAGCTGCAACAGGAAATAAAGTACAGAGTGAATAAAAATGCTGCTCCCTGCAAACATCCCTCACGAAGTCTTGATCGCAGGAGGGCTTTCCAGCTAGAGATGCTGGAGCCGAGGCAGGGGGTGGGTTTTGTAGGCTGGGCTGAAATTTGACATCAGGAGGAAGCTGAAACCCATCATTGGTGGAAGCCCGCTGTGATGCAGAGGTGAAGGCTGGATCAAGCTAGACGCTTGGGGAATGTGAAGGAGGGAGTGATTGAAAGAGCAAAAGAAGGAGTCCATGTGTGGCAGTGGAGGACAAACTGAGAGAAATGGGTAATCTGGCATAATAAGAGGGCAGCCACAGCACGTAGAGAAGGCAAATAAGTAATCAGAGTAAAATAGGAAGTGATTTGTTTGAAAAATGCCTGGTTGCTGCTGCTCTCCTGGCCTGGCTGTACTTCTTAGAGATGGTATGTGCTGTTCTCACTACAGCACATTTCTGATGCATTTATGCAAACCTTCATAGGAAATCTAGCTCCATAGTGGTAAGCTTTGCATCAACTCCAAACAGAAAATAATTTTTGTTTTTCAAGCATTTATTTTGTTTTCTTTTTAAGTAAGATACATTTGTATGGAAGTAAGTAAGAGTTCAGAGGCAGGTACTGGCACATCTGTAAGATGCATGTGTGTTATGGGAGGGGGGATTGCAGGCTAAAGATGACTTGCAGTTAGCTGCTGAACCTCACCTGTGCTTTCGCTTGCTTCCTTTAGATGTGTTAGCAAGCTGTTAACACCCGCACTGAACATACAATTGCCAAAAAATCTTAAGAGAATTTAACTAATAGTAGTTTTGTACATTAAGAGAATGGTGTGAAATTATAGAGGTAGGAAATAAAGAGGGATCATAATTGAAAATGGCTGTGTGATGAAGTGTAAACAAATCAGAAGTTAAATTAAGTCCTATTAAATCTGACTCAGATATGATTTGCCTCAACTTGACTTCTGTGGAGTTGCAGGATGTTTTTTCCTATGCTGCCTAAATAGTATTTGAACATTGTGCAGATGCTGCCAGGTTAATCAAATGAACAATCATTTGAGCACAAGCATGAGTTTTAGGGATGAGTGATCAGGGCATTTGCTGAGGCTGTAGGTCGTATGGGATCCTGTTAAACTAGTGCAGATCATCCAGTGTGTGGATGTGAATAGGAGAAGACAAGAACTGAATTTTAGCATCTGACCTTACAAAGGTGACACTGGCTCTGCTTGAAGATTTTACTTCCTGTTTCCAAGTAAATCTTTTATCCACAATCCAGTATTCACTATCAGCCAATATGCTGAGAGATTGCAGTAATGAATTTTTCCATCAAATCCAGGGAGGCTGCTAGCAGAACAGCACTTCTCTGACATTACATGCTCTAATTACATGCAAGGTTTCTAAGAGTGCTGAAACATCACAGAAAAGAGAAAAAGATAAAAGCCAAGATTTCAAAAAATGGTGGACCGGGACTTACAAGAATAACTCCAATAGAGAAAATACAGCTTGATTCATGAGCAAAAAGAAAAAAATACTTAGTTATTCCTGTAGGAATGCAGAAACCACAAACACAGGCTGCAGTAATTGCAATTAAATGCACTACACAGGGATGATTCATCACCCATGTCCTACAACAGCTTTACTTTGGAGAACTCAGTGACTCTCCAGCCATGCATTTAGCCCTGTGCTCAGCACTGTCTGGCACCTTGTTTCTGGGCAGGAGGCCAGCATACTGAAGTATGTGGTATCATAGAATCACTGGATGGTTTGGATTGAAGGGACCTTAAAGTTCATGCAGTTCCAATCCCCTGCCTTCCACTTCCCTGATGTCCTCAGGGACACCTTCCACTAGAGCAGCTTGCTCCGAGCCCCTGTGTCCAACCTGGCCTTGAACACTGCCAGGGATGGGGCAGCCACAGCTCCTCTGGGCACCCTGTGTCAGGGCCTCACCACCATCACAGGGGAGAACTTCCTATTATCTGATCTATAGTCTGTAGAAGTACTTTGAAAGTAGCAAGTTGACCAAGCTTCAGGGAATTTTCATTGAAAGATTGTGTGGTATTTGCAGATCTTTTGCTGACTACACTGACTGTGCTGACAAAGATACAGCCAGGCGACTGATCTCTAGGATTTAGACAGGAATGGAAAATTGGGAAAATTGGAAACCACCTGTGTCATTAAACAGGTCAGCTGTCCATTTTCTGACCCATAAACATGCTATGCTGTGGGTGATAGCTGGGCAACCATGCATAAGGGAAGGGACAACCTTAAGTTGTTGCAAAGTTTCCAGACAGCTTTTAGAGTTCAAGTCTGTGTGGACAATTGGATCAATACCGCTTTAGCACTACAGACAGTATTGGTTTAAGATTTAATTAGAACAGGACCTTTTTACTGAATTCAGGGAGTGACACTTTGTTGATTTTACCTCTAGCTCCTTTTTCCTTTTTTCAGCTTTTACTTGGAAATTATTTTTAAATCGAGATGTGGAAGGCGTATTAGGTCACTGAAAGTGACAGACTGGGGATGTAATCAATAGCTCATTTTTGAGAAAGAGGGTACCAGAGGAGCTGTTGCAGATCAGGTGAATTGCTGTAATGGCACTCAGTCACACACCAAGAAGATGACTTCTTACTGCATTTGCTCATCATCATCAGTTGTAACCCTTAGTGTTCATTTACCAACTTTCCAGTGATTCCCTAAAGAACTGGGAAGCATTTGCCTTACAAAACTCTCAATAGTGCGATTCTTTCTATTTGGATATTAAGATATGCAAAGGATTGTTGTAAAATACTTAAATTTATTGCTTATAACCGTCAATACAGTCTCTGGTAGGAAAATTATCTTTAATTAGTACAAGAGAAATAGCTTACTAAAAATCTCACTGGGTCTCTCTAGGTCTCACCAGTGAGGATGTAGACCCCCTGAGGAGCTCTTAGTTCTCTTTTTCAAGACAGAAGG